AACACATTTAACTGTTGTATCATTCATGAACACTTGTACCTGTTGTATCATTCATGTACACATTTACCTGTTTTATCATTCATGAACACTTTTACCTTCTATATCATTCATGAACACTTGTACCTGTTGTATCATTCATGAACACTTTTACCTTTGGTATTATTCATGAAACTTTTGCCTGTTGTATCATACATGAACACTTTTACCTTTTATATCAGCCATCAAGATGTTTGCCTTGTGCTCCCCTCAGGAACACCGTCACAAATGTACATTAAATTACCAGTACTGTTTAGTTTTTTTGTAAAAGATAATTTTATAACAAAAAATGTACATTGACGGCATCGTTACTGAAAGTACAATCTAATGTATAATAACAGTCAGTTTTCATATTTTATTGTACATAAAAGCTTTATTCTAAATGTATATAGGCTTAGGCGATATTCTTTATATTTACATCCAGCCCATACCACCATTAAAACGCATCACTACATTGTAAGGGGAGCAAAGCGACGTGACCTTAACCACGGAAACACAAAGAAAGTTTCGCTATTGTTCAATCACCAAGAATTTGCTAGAGATAATTTGTGCCTACCCTCAAAACAGTACCTTCTAACTCTTTTTTTTTTTTAATGTATAGTAAGAATGGGCCTAAGTCCAAGGTTCAGTCCCCGAAAACATAGGCAAGTCAAACCGTTCATGTGCGGGCTAGGGCAATTTTTCAAATCTCATTGTTGTTTTTGGCGTGTGTACTTTTGACGCTAATCTGATGTTTGATGCACCTACGTAAACAATGTAAAACCATTTCTCGTTATACAACAATAATCATATTATTTTTTTTTTGTACAAGTAAAAGTACAATGATTTAAAATTTAGAAGTTTCCTGTGTATTATCGTTCCCTAAGCTTTATATTTTTGTCTGCACGATGTCATTTTTCTTATTACTTTGAAACTGTAAATTGTAGTATGATTCGTGCATCCACTCTTATGTAACCATTGCAATAAACTATCCATAATAATACATGTTGGTATAGCTTATATTTACCATAATAGAAGCTGCTTAAAAATAGTGTAAATTGCTTATTCAGATTTTACTCAGATTTCAATAGATCATTGCTTAAATCCTAAAGTCTTTGTGACGCTGCTCTCTTGTTACTCTTAGAAACTTGCAATCTGAAAACTTCCCATAGAGCAGCAAAACAAAAAAACCAAAGACAGTGTCACATTTCATAAAGCAAACTTCGGAGATATATTGAAATTTTTTCATGTCTTGTTTGACAATTACCACTTTTATTTTCAAAAAATGAAAAACTGTAATGTATATATATATATATATATATATATATATATATAAAACTAAAAAATTTATTATTTTATAGACATATATCATTTATAAGTCATTAGTTTAAATATAATATAGAAATTTTTTCTTATCTTGTTTTACACATATAACTTTTATTTTAAAAAAATAAAAAAATGTAATATATATATATATATATATATATATATATATATATATCAAACTAAAACATTAATTATTTTATAGACATAAATCATTGATAAGTCATTAGTTTAAAGATCTCATTCTTTAAATTTAATAAAGTGGACAAAAACCAATTCCTAAACCCAAGTCCTTTGTTTAAAAAAAAAGGCTAAGACATTATATGCTTGGAAATATGAGGAAAGATCGGTAGAAAAGATTTAAGACTCTATACTTTAAAATGGCCGAGGTGAGTATAAGAGCTGATACAGCACTTCATATGGAGAAACTTATAACCAAACTTAACAAACTTTTCATGTTGCTTGCACAAACTGTTAGAACATGCGTATTTTTCGTGAGTAATCAATTCGCACTTATCAGTATACCGAGGGGGGTATAAACTAAAGCACTCTAAGAAATGCAGGCACAATCATAAAGTGTTTAAACGCAATGCATTGATGATACAACATGCTCAGTCGTAACGCATGGGGAAACCTATGTACTGCCCAGGGGCCTCAAATGCAAAATTTTATCAACTATTTATGAATACATTACTTCTACGCTTAAAGAGGAATGGGGTCCCCCCGGGTATTACTTTGTCTAGTGCATTGGAGACAATATTACTTACAAAATAGTGATTTCATTTACTGTTTCCGGGGAAGAGAAGCCTCAGAGGAAATGACAATTGATATGAATTTGTTCATGACCTGCACTAAGTAGTATTTAGCTTTCTGATTTGCGTTTTAACAGTGCATCCAAAAACATTATTGCAAGATGTCATGAGATTTATATTTCGTAGACTATTTCAAAGTAAACATTGGTGTTTGAATTGGAACATCATGCTGACCTATTTTTATGAAATAAACAACTTACTGACCTATTTGAATGTCATAATCTTCTCACTCACCCATTTAAATGAAATAAGCATCTCACTGACCTATTTGTATAAAATAAACATCACGCTGAACTACTTAAACGATATAAACATATATGTTATGAAGAGCTCGCGCTCGACGACCCAGCGACGCCCTTTCCCATGGTCATGAGATTATTTTTTAATCGTTGAAAAGTCCCTTTTGACTTACCCTATTTGGAAAGGGACCAAGCTGACAGGCTCGAAATTAAGCAATACCAATAAGTGTGATTTAATGCAAACATTTAAATATAATAATCTTGTATCGTTACCTTACTCTTTTTCATTCTGGTTTGATGATGACACATTATATGTATTCAAATATACATTAAAAAATTAATATGTTAAACATTTAAATTAAAATTTATATATGTTTATATGTTAAGTGGTGAATATCTGGGTTGTTTTTTTTCCAGCGTCTTCTTGAGATATTAATATTTCTATTGATAATTATTTATTCCAGTTTACAGTGTACTATTTCTTGTTCCACCCTCTTTGAGAATGACTAATATGTCCTCTCCTCTTAAAAATCATCTTGTTGATAAATCTTTCCCCTTCTTTTATTTTATTTTAAATCTCCAACAATGTTTTCATACTTTCGTCGAATCTTTAGCGACTTTGAAAAATGTAACACGAAAAAAAAAATGGAATTAATCGTAACTTCTAAATACGCATAGAGCAATTGGTTTAATTTTTTATGAATTGCTTGAACTGCCTTTTAAAAAAAAGTTCAGCTTTTATTGATTGCAAAAAACATATCCATTACATTTTTTTTAAAATAATTGCGATGGGGAATAGAAACATATTGCTTTTAGTTTGTTTCATAATGATGATTTTTATGTTTAATTCTTTCAGGAAAAACCAAGGTTCTCATATCACTTTAAACGTTGTTTTTTAAAAAAAAAAAGAAATGTAGTTCCCTTGAAAATTAAATTACATTTACCTACCTGTAAAAGGCATTTACATTAAGTTTGTAATCAACTCAAATTAAGCTCGTCAATTAAATATATATATAAAACTTCAAATCCATGGATTCTGGGCTTTCCACGATAACTTAAGATTGGTACATAACCGATGTTATGGAGGGTGGTCAACATATACAGCTAGTTTCCATTTAAAAAATCGACGAACATAGTAGCCCACTTTTTAACTTCTATGAAAAATAATTGGACTTGTGGGATCAGTCGTATGGTTAATGGCAGGAGGCTAACAGCCAATGGCTTGGTTTTCAATATAAAGATCTTGAAACCGACCAGGTGGCGCATAACTGTAATGATATTATTATTATTATTATTATTATATGTGGTTTTATAAAGCGTGGCACCCCAGATTAGGTCTGGACTCACCACGCCGTACGTACAAAATTTAACAAACATATTTTTTTAAAAACTTACACAAATTAATTGACCTACCTTAATTAAATAAAACAAAACAAATGTCTCACAAATCAAAAATGTCAGGATTGCTTGGAACGTTATTTCAGTAAGCAGCCCAACTGGCCATTGGTTAATATTACTACTAGTGGCAGTGACAATGATAAAATCTATCTTTAATAATCGATCGAGCCAAAAGCAGACCCATACCTCCCAATGAAATATTAATACATTTTTGCTGATTTAAATAAAAAATAACCACAAAACTACAATATTTTTAAGGTTGTATTTTTTTTATCCCGTTTTGTTAAACTACAAGGTAGATATGTTCACTTTGCATCATAGATTGTTTATTTTCCTTTCAAACAGTAATAAGGCCCCAATTTGATGGTCTGTAGGCTGGCCTGCACGCATCTGTGGGAAAGTAAACCAGCTCCATGTTTTAAAGTAGTTTTTTTTTTCTTTTTAAATTGAGGAACCCTTGCTGAGAAGTTTCTTGTGTGTACCCGTTATGATAACTATCCTGCTAAGTTGACGAAAATAAACTGATTATATCAATATAATAATTTTAATTTACTAAGACCTTTGAGGAAAAAAAATATTTTGAGTACAAAAAACAAATTGTCTCTTTTGTTGCTTGCAGCATTTCAACTCAAACTGTAATACTTTTCCTAGAGTGTAGTTGATAATCTGTGAAATATGGATGCGTGATCAATACCCTTTACTTTTAGCTAACGTAAGCAGATAACCAATTCATTTAAATGGTAACTTTGTCTCTTAGCGGATTATAGGGTTTACTTGACTTTATAATGAAATGTAAATTACTACAGATGTACCTAACCACTTCTGAATTATGCAAGTCGATGAAATGATTAATCCATTTCTTGCTTGCAATATATAAATAACATTTTTTTAAATATTTTTTTTTAAAATTAGTGGGATGATTGAACTAAAGACTTAAAGAATAAGTATATGCCTCTGAAATTATACATATATTCATTACTACTGTATTCGTTTTAGTGTATGTGTGTCTTTGTTTGTGTCTGTGTGAGTGTGTGTCTGTGTGTGTGTGTGTGTGTTTCTGTTGCTCTTTGTTTCTCTGTGTAAAAAGAGAGCATCGTGACAAATAAGGTGAGCATTACCCAATGTTCCAATGAAACCAAAGAAAGAACTTACTTTGCCATTTATAATGTTTAATCAGTTTATGATAAGGTAAACAGAGTCTAATAATGAATAGCTTATCATAAAGTTTGCATAATGATGGATTCAGTCATTATAGTACAAGTTACAGTTTTCGTGTAATATTAAAATATACCTCATAAAGAAAAAAATAACAATGTGCAGAGAATAATAATCAACAAGAGGAAACATAGACAATCCCAGTTAATGGATATTATTTATGTTTGTACATAAAACAATACCATTAAATATGGTCACCAGGGAATGGTCTTACCTATTTACTTATTTGAATAACATGTCAAATTTCCGTATAATGTATACAAGTTAAATAGACACATTGGATATGAAATATGACCTCTCTTTCGCTTAAACGACCGTTATACCAGGGTGGTGTATCTGTAGCCTGGACTTGCGCCAATTCTTGCTATCAATTGAAATAGAGTTAGAAGATGCGGTATCATTAGAAGATTGCCATAAATTATTTGCTAAACAAATCGTTGGCTAATCAAGATACCGTACATTTTTTGGTATTACAAGGGATCAGAAGTAAAGTTTTTCTCTCCTCATGAGGTACTGACATGTTTTAATGTTAGTGTGGGTTGAACATAAAAATAGAGAATATGTCGGAAGGCTATATAATTATAAAATAACGGTGTTGTGTACGATACATAATATACAAAATAAAGTTTACTAAACAGTAGATTATCGTTTTAGTTACGGTCCAGTAAATGAGGAGTTTCCTGTAGGACACAGCACATGTTTTACTTTCTAATACGAAAGATACACCAGGTTAAAATGTATCTAGTAGTATAGAACCAGGTCAAACTGGTCACTTAAGATACAAATGAGAAGGTGTTCACCAAGGATACAACTGGACAAGGTGGCATGCAGTATAAAACAGGTAAAGATGTTCTTGCTAAATAAAACAAGAAAATGTGTCCATGAATGATACAACCGACAAAGGTGTTCATGACTGACACAACATACAATGGTGTTCATGAATGATACAATAGGCAAAGGTGTTTTGAATGATACAATCGGCAAAAGTTTTTATGAATGATACAATAGGCAAAGGTGTTTTTTTACCATGTAACAGTTAACAGTAATTTTTTTTTTTAAATTCTATTATAACACAAATAAAATCTATAATTTCAAAAGTGAATTGGGGCAAAGGTAATACCATTGATGAAAACATATATTTAGAAATGATAAGATAACCAGGATAATTTAATTGATCAAAACAAATTGGGATTAGTTTTGTTGACGTTTCAAATACATTTATTCTACGCATATTATTTATAACATAGTCAGTTATGCGACTTTCTGGTTAACGCAAAAAAAAAAAAAAAGAACCAAAAAAGAAGAATTAAAACACACTAGAAAAAACAAAGCATGAGCATTTGCAAAGGTAGCTAAGAAAAGTAAATTATAAACTTTACAATGATTCACAATACACAGAAATTGAAAAATACGAATTAACTTTCCTCTCTTACATTTTTTAAAGTAGATGAATATAAAATTTTAAAAAATAAAAAGAACTTTGGAAGTTCATGCGCGCCCTAACATCAATAAGTAATGTAAACGAAGTTTATGGCAAGAAGCGTGTGTGTGTTTTTTTTTAAAGGCTCCCAAAATTTTCTTTGTCAACTCCGTAATAAAAGAAACAATGTACAGCTTACTTCGTTTACCGCTGTAACCCCGAGGTTCTGCCTTTATTTCACGTAACAGATTGAATGGTGTTTAATTTTCATCATAAAGTATATTATCTCATTAACATTAATTTCTAATCTATACATATAAACATTTCGTCTGAAATCGCCTCGACGTGGGTTTCTTCATTTAATAATTAACGGACTTGACAACAACAAAAAAAGGAGGTTGTCAAATAATCAATATTTTTTTAAAAATTAAAAAAATAATAATAACAATTCTGGTTGTACATTTCTATAAATCAACGAAAAGCAAATGGTGGAAATATTTCATCATGTGCAGCATGAGAAATAGGAGGGGACATGTACATTAATGAAACATTACATATTTGATATCAAAGTGTGTCAAATAATGGTCCAATGTGTCCCAAAAAATGAGTTGGTTATTAGATTCATCTTGCTGTAGCATATATTGCGGAGGGTTAACAGATAATGGAACTTCCGCTAGTGTCAATTGCATATAACACCCAAAAATTCTACTACATTTGAACAAATATTATGTACATGGTATCAAACGCAAACAATGTACAGTTACATTTAACGTTGAGATTTGTCCTTCTTTTTCTACATGTATTTTGGAATAGTTTTTAAGGTTCCTAACCTCTTCATGGAGGATTACTTTAAATGTCATCTGTGGCGCCCCAAACGGTCCAAGGATTAAGGCAAGGGGCATAGTGAGGAAGATGATCTCTTAATGGTGTCATTTTAATTGCATTCGGATTTCATGCCCTTTTTTGTTATTGAATAACTTTTAAAAGAGGCACGTGTTCATCATGACTTCCAGTTTCTTTCGTTGTGACTATCACCTGGAAAAGAATTAAATTAAACTGTTTAAGTATATTGCCTCTTAAATGAGCTAGATATTCATTAATTCTATTTTCGGCTTATCAATCCTAAGCTTGTGACCTGGAGTACATCCATCATCAAAAGCCTAGACAAAAAAAAATTATCACAAGCACGATGTAAGGATGGGACAAATTAAAATTGGATAGAAACCCATCTAATAGAATGCACACTCTGATATTGAACACGGAGATGGAGTCCAGTAGGAGTTATGACATTGACGCAAATGAAATTTCCTAAACTCCTTCGATTTAAAACGCATGAAGAGCACAGTGAGCCACAAGAGCACTGCATCCTCGTCTATTTCCATTCTTCTTGAATAAGTCTGGCTATTCGAGGGAATAGGCAAGGATGGGGGAGTGAGGCTGACGATCTTGCCTCCGTCACTTTATCACAGTGCAGCTCAAGACAAGTCGGCTACGCAAGTCGAAGCTTTTGGCTTCTTTGCTGGCGGAAGACGAACATTCAACATGCTGTCGTTTAGTCAACCAAAGTCAGATTAGCACTTTAAAATAGTTTAATATTTACTCCATGTTAGCATTTAATGTTTGTTTAAAAATCACATTACACGGTATTAGAACTGTATTAAATGCAATAGAGTTTTGACAAATTGTTTACTAGTAAAGTGAAAATAACCAGTAATATATTTGTTTTTTTTTAATAATTCAAAATTCAAAGTGTACCTCGTGGTCGGATTGCAAAATCAGTTTGGGAAAATTATACTTGGCTAAACCGAAAAATGATTTCAAGAAAATTTTTAAGACACATGACGTCACTGGCGTTCATTGTCATTCTATGTACTAGTTGTTTGTTGCACCTCTAACATGTAAAACAAATCTTGCACAGATCAAATGGCAGCACTACGAATAATTGTACACATTTCATCGAATTGAACTTCCCCCATATCTAAATTTTATCGACTACGAAAAGCCCTTGACAGTCTTGACCGACAAACCTTGTGGAAACGTCTCCGGCGTTTTCGGGTACCAGGAAAACTACTCAGGATTTTTCAGAGTTCTTATGGCGAAAAGATGTAGGTTGGTACGCGATGGTAGACTGACATATGATTTTAAAGTGGAAACGGGGGTAAGACAAATATGTATCTTGTCCTCCTTTCTATACATACTTGCCATTAACGGGATAATGAAAAAAAAACAAAATTCACATACAAAATAGGAACGGAATACAGTGGACACCCGTGGAATACTGAATGACCTAGACGTTGCAGGTAACATGCAACTTCTGTCCAACAATGCAGGAAAAGACTAAACACATAGCCAAAATTTTCAGCACAACTGTGACTCAATATGAATAAAAGCAAGAAAAAGATCATGAAGTAAACTCGGCCAACCAAGAGCATAAGTGGCGTCCTTCACATAATTTGGCTGCAACAAGGTCAAAAATGGACACACTGAAGCGAATGTATGAGATGTAAAAGACAAGGCTAGGTCAGTATTTGTGCTTTTAAAGAATATATCGGAGACAGATGAGCTGACTCTGCAAACCAATTTAAGAATTTTAAACACAAATTTCAAAACTGGCCTAATTTATAGAGCCTAAACTTGGATAAGGAAAGCGAGCCTGACGCAGAAAGTAAAGACCTTCATTCACACTTGCCTTAGAAAGATCCTGAACATCAAATGACCAAACACCATCCTCAACAAAGACTAACAGGAAAGGAAATGCCAGAAGCCTATTGTTGAAGATACCTTAAGGAAAAGAAGGAGTTGGCTAGGACACACTCTTCGCAAACCCTAGTTAAAATAAGACAATCCCTAACATGGAATCGACAAGAAAAAAGAAAGAGTAGAAGGCCTAAAAATAAAAGCATAAATAATGTCAACACCTCACGGTAAACGTTAGACTGTAGCAAACAAAGTCCCATAACGAGACATTTCGTACTAAACGGTAGATTGCTGCAAAAAAGCATTCCAAAATGGTAACCACTGACAAGAAACGAAACATTTGTCTGTCATCAATTCTAAAACATTAAAGATGATTTAAGACTTCCAAGAAACCACTAAACTTCCCATCTATCAACTTTTCCTACTGTAGTTAGCTGTTTCCTTATTATTTTTCATCCTAATGGAGATAATATGTACGACATTATACACAGCTTGTAAAATCAATCAATTAAAGGACCCACCACCAAACCATCTCCAGTGAAGCAGGGGTAAAACAACTATATTTTATTATATATATATATATATATATATATCTATGTACAGACTTGAATTAGTTTCTACTTGTCTGATACGCCAAAAAATAAATGCGTAGAGGAGAACTTTTTTGCAAGTTTCTAGGTTTATCAATATGACTATGTAGTTTTTGCGCATTCGTTGGCAGGACAGGGTGCCTAACGTGGAGGTTTTGGAACATGCACACATGTTTAGCATATTCTCCTTTCTTATCAAGAGACGCCTTCGCTGGTTAGGTCATGTACGGAAAATGGAGGAAGGACGTATCCCAAAGATTCTGCTGTAAGGAGAGTTGGCAGAGGGGACAAGACATATTGGACGACCGCGCCTGAGATTGATTGACGTTTGCAAACGAATCATGAGGGAAGCCCATATTGAAACAAACGAATGGGAGTTCATTGCCGAACATCGCTCCAACTGGCGTACAGCAGTGTTTGGAGGAGTGAGAAAGGCAGAAGTTACTCGAAACGAGTCCCTCGAATCAAAAAGAACAATTCAAAAATCAAGAATTTACCGGGTTTCAACATTCTCCTGCGAGAGATGCGGCCGTGATAGCCATTCAAGGATTGGCTTAGTGAGCCAATCGTCAAAGTGTAGAACTATAGAGCTACTCCATCGTCTCACGTAGATGGAAGGATGCTATAATATTTAGTTGTAGTGTAAGTTGCATACCTCTATTTTATTTATTCCCAATATGTAGCTTTTTTAAATATAAGTTTTGAAAAGGCTTTATTTCTGCTTATTGTCTATCCAACTTAAATCGGGATCAATTAAATTTGATTAGCTTCTTATGAGTCATTTTCACAAGTCTTTGAAACGCAATTGCCAAAATGGTGTGTCGCCGACAGGCTCCGGACTGTGAGACTTACTTTTCCTGTTAGCGCACATGTCAAATAACGAGAAAATCTAAATCATTAATCTGACACCTTTTCCTGTTGCATTTTCATAGTTTCTCCACTGATCCATCATAAGTAAACTTTTATTAAACACTGCTCTAGAAATATTTAAAAACACTATTCTTGGGTTTTCCATAAAGTTGTGTATTTCTCCAAGATGTTAACAAGATTGTGAGCATATTCTTAATTTCTTAAATGTAATGGAAGTTTCTATACATTTCCATATTTTATTGGACATTTTCTGAATCTCCATCCTTAAACATGAAAGAATATATTTTCAGGCTCCTCCCAATTCAAATATTCACTAAATAATGCATTTTCGGAACATGTCAGGTTAATCGATTATTTATTTATTTTTTTTGGCTACTTTTTTTTTTGAGACGGTCTCTAACCTCAGCTTATGTGAAGGTCCACATTTTAAACTGACTTTGATCCAACAACTTTAAATATTATTTTACACTGTCTAACTTTTGCATGTTTCTTGCAATTTTTAAGGGTGAATTTAAAATTAAGAATGGGTTATAACTCATGACTTTTGATTGGATCATTACCGGAAGTAAGAAGGGCAAATGTTTATACAAACTGTTATAGTGCTTCTTTTTATGGTAATGAATTGACACTTTCGTTTTTTTTTTTCTAAAGGGGTTAGCACAGGAGTCCTTGTATCACTTTTAAATCAAAGGGCTATACATTACTATAGAAATGCCTTCGATTATAAAACGAGAACCACTTGGTAAGTTATCTTGTAAATTATTGCTTCAATTTTTTGAATTTAAAAATGGGAAATAATAATTGGAAGCTGTCAATTTTTTAAAACATAACTATTTCAACTTGGGTAAAAAAAAAATATAAGAAACAATCTTATTCAAATTTGACATATACAGTTTAAATCTTAGCAATTATGTTTTGTATTGTTGTTTTTAAATGAACATTTCAGACTTGTTAATGGTCCTTAACTTACTTTTCCTGGGCATTCACCTTCTGTTGTATAATCGTCCAGAACTAAGAGATTGACTTTACGACTGTCGCTGGCTTCAGATATATTAATTTCTGTAAAATCAGCCACTCTCAAACAGCCAACATAAGACTGCATCTTTTTCTTTATTTCACTAAGGAATCTGCGATATAAAAATATTTAATTATTTTTATTCAATGATGAGAACATTAATACTATTTTTTTATATCGTTTGAAAGAAGGCGGACACGTTTATGAGGCGTAAAAATTAATACAAATTAAATTTTCAAGAGGATTTTGGCATTCAACACATTTCTAACCTCTTGTTGCGTTTTTTAATCAGTGTCTCAGATTTTGCGTTGGTTGACAAGCGCTTTATCGCAAACACAACAAAGCCAGCTGCTAATTGCGTAAAATTGCCACGTGTGATGAACTCGTGTGAACCATAAGCACAAACGACGATATATATAGTGGCCACAATGAATGCAAACACAATGTAGGTGCCTATAGTCTGCAGAAATAGCTCAAGTTAGATCATAGATAACATTATAAATTACACTTTTTGAAAAAGTTAAGAGGAATGCTTTTCTAAAAACAAAAGCGCTATTTACATTTTACTTTTAAAATCCTTTATGCGTTTTTTTTTTAAAATGCTGACTTTTGTAGTTGATACAATTTTTTAAACAATTAAAAAAGGAATAAACTAACAATAAACTATGCAAAAAAAGCTAGCGCGGATCGAATAAGCATATATTGTTAGACATAATCGACAAAATGATGAAGCTACCTAAGTGATATAATGTTTAAAATGTCTATTTAGAATATTTTCAAATTTTTTTTTTTGAAAACGACTCATGAACTTTCCACGTTGCTGAAAAATGAGCTCATCTTCCAAAACGTTTCATTTATCATTAGGGCCGAGAGATTTTGTTTGTATTCATATATTTCCCAAAACAGCAATATCTTATTTTTGTTTCTTTTATGGGCACTCAAATAAAATCGCATGTCTTTAAAAAAAATTAATAAACATTTTTTTATAATAATTTCCCATGCATTAAATACTTACCTACCTAAACACTAGTTCATGTATTAATGACTGAAAGTATGTTGATTTGGAAGTTGTACATGAATAAATTAAAACCACAGGATGATATTATTGACATTTATAGTGATATATTTTCTTTGCGAGCTTACAAATGATCAATTGTAGACGAAAATGTTCTATTTGTTCTTATGTGAAAATAAATATGAGTAATCTCCTATGAAAGGTTTTATTTAATTTTCCGTAAATTTAAACCAAAAAAAAATTTAAAAAGTAGTACTTACTTTTCCTACATTGCATGGTCTAGGAGCACCGACACAGTAAATACCAAGGCAGTGAAATAAAAAATTCCGAGACACAAAGGGAATGTCGAGCCTGCTAATAAAAATACACGCATAATCTACCCTTAAGAAGAGGTCAGAAACGTGCTTTTGATGATCGTCTCGAGGCTGCGTCACTTGAGATGATCCGTTTGTTTGAGACGCTCTCCTCGCTCCAGAAGCTATTTTGTCACCTGTAAAAGAAAAAAAAATATATATATTTTTTATTTTATCTTAACAACATTCAAAATCTCATAATATTTCAGATTGAAGATGATCTTTCAACATTTCTAACTATATCTATTGACAATGTCAATGTTTAACAGTGCAGTGCTAATGGCATAGCGTGTGAGGTACGCAGGTCATGGTCCACCCCATGCGGCATTTTCAGCGAACTGTAGCTGTAGATTGTTATCGTTGGGATGGGTGGAACGAAATCTTGACCTCACCCAGGCTTTTTTAACTTTAACTACGCTAAATTTTGTACCACGCCTAACATTAGTAAAGTAGAAACGAAAATTTACATGTAAATGCTAACCACAATTTTATTGCGAATTGTACATAATTAATATTACCTATTTTCACTACAAAACGGTTGATCTCGACAATGGTGTGATATATAAAATTGAATAACTGTGATTCTAAAATTAACACTGCCCATACATTACATATATTTTATATCCTATGTATTTTTCTTGCAGTCTGAGTCACCACAGAGTGGTAAAGTTGATTATACAATTTTAAAGTAAAAATATTTAAGTAATATTTATCTTTTAATTTATATTTTTAAGCACTTAATGTGATAATATGTTGAGAGAAAAGTGACGAAATTTTGACAGGGGCTTTTATTAAAGTCTGCTCCCTTTAATGTGGGCATTTAATTATTCTTTGGTTTTCGTGAATGGGCGAATAACTTCCAGGAAAATTGTCATGGTTCATTTTGGACTCAAAAGCGAGGGTCGTTGAGATCTGGACTTAGAGATATACTAGATGGACCCCCGTCCTTTGCTATAATGTTTGAGTGAATTACGAATTAGTTGGGGTTTAGTTTTCATGTCCTATCATGATTCGGTACGAGAAGAAACCTGAGCCCGACAGTTGTTGTAGAATGAATTTGTAATTTGGATGACGCTAGGCAATGCTACTGAATCGCACGTCCTCTTATGATCGTTTATGAAAATACATTAATTTTTCATCATAAGGGGTAGCTTAGACAATTTGTTTGTTTAATATGTGGTTTTTTTTTAAATTTAGGTTCACCTTGAACATGACTAATGGACAAACTACCAGGTCGCTTCTCTTGAGAAGATCCGTTTGTTTGAGGAGTTTCCACTGTACCTGAGGCTTGTATATGATCTACAAAAGAAAAGAAAATTACTGTTGATTTTAAAGACATTCAAAAATTATTTATCTTCAAAGATGGAATGTACTTTAAAAATTGTATATGTCATACATTGCGACAGCACATCAAAGGGCGTCTGTCGACTAGCAGCGTCACGTAGAGCTTAACATAGTAACTATTCGTAATCGTCTAAAAGTGCAGTGTTAATGGCGAAGCGAGTGAGGTACAGAGGATATTGTCCGCCACAAAGTTGACGTTTCGACGACTGTATCAGTAGTAATTGATCAAGGGGATGGGTTGTACAAAATCTCACCTCCCCCCCCCCCCAAACTGTTTTGAGTTAGACCTTGGTTTACCAATAGTGCACCTTACCTAACATTTCAAATGGGGCAACAGTTTTACATATAAAATCTGCTCAAAATTTTATTGGAACTCTTGCATGTTACAAAATGTATATGCATAATCAATACAATGCATATTACTTTAAATACAGAACGTTTCATCCCGACAATTGTGTGATACAAAAAAACATTGAATTGGTTTAAAGGAATAACAAATAGAGCAGGATTTAATTTCGTGTCCTATTATGACTCGGAATGAGTAGATGCATGGAGCCCAAATTTTTTCAAGAATGAATTCGTAATTTGGATAACGGTAGGGGATGCTTCTTCATGAATCATCTCCTCAATGGCAGAACATATGAGCGTTCTATAGAGCGTCGTAAGTATTTTGTTTTTTTGATGATCTGTTTTCATTTTAAATCCCAGTTGTAAAATATTATTTCTTGCTTCTTAAACAGCTTTTCAACAGCTGCCAATTTTTCTAACTTTTTTTTTTTTGGTGCTACATATAAATCCTAACGTCAAGCTACAGGTTTTCTGTCGACATTAATGTGGCAAAATGTCGTCTAGGGGTAGGACCCTTTCTCAACGTCCACAGAAACACACTATCAGATCAGAGTCTCAACTCTGTTTTCTTTTTCGCTTCAAATAACTTGACGAGATGGTTTGAAATAAAGGTATCCTTTAATTATTTATATGATGTGTTAAGACACAATGCACAATAAAGCAACTAGTAAAAATAGTTTTCGCATTTGAAAGAATTGAAATTTTAGCACCCTGCGCCATGCACCACTCACTCATTACTTTAAAACAAATGCATCTTCAAGTCCATAACAATTCTCCGCACCAAAAAATCGAATTACACTGGAAATGCGTCATAGCGCATTCATGCCTGAGTCAAAGTGGTGCGAAAGATGGGAAAGTTCCAAAAGGAAGACAGCATTGCTCACTGTTAAAATTATCAACCCAGACACGAGTTGACCAATTTATAAGGACAGTGAGACAGGAAAAATTAAACAGAATGTCCGACTCTTTTCATAGAGGCCAAAATTATATTTGTAAAAGACAGCATTGCTCACTGTTAAAATTATCAACCCAGACACGAGTTGACCAATTTATAAGGACAGTGAGACAAGAAAAATTAAACAGAATGTCCGTCTCTTTTCATAGAGGCCAAAATTATATTTGTAAAAGTGTGGGATGTTTTATAGATAAAGTAAAACACGCCTTAAATTGTGATACTATTTTACTGGAAACTTCAAATAGGCACACCATTTCCCTTTGTGTGTGTGTGTGGAAACCCTGTTGGGTTTAAAAAGTGAAGGAAGCGGGTAGCGTGCGTCGTCCTCTAACTTAACCAAAAAGCTAATAGACTGATATCTCAGCATCTTTGCAAAGATATTACTCGGGGTGTATACCTTGACATCGTCTTCCTTTAAATTCCCATATCCATATTTGTAGATGTTAGAGAATCTTCATGGGGAATTCGTAATGCTTGACGTCTTTGGCTTTACCTGATCAATCAGTCAGACTTGAAGTGGAATTTTAGCTTATGTAAATTATATATATGTGTGTCAAAAATAACATTAGTATCACCTCATCTTGTAGAGACATTGTGGTGTGTTAATACGGTCTAAAATTCAACTGAAACCAAGACTCGAGTTTTATTCTTCCAGTATGTGACTCTTTAAAAGCGTCTTCTCCTGTTTCAAAATGATTCTATCTTTATTCTGTAGATGAATTAAGAGCGTCATGGCAGAGTGAAAACGCCATACATCTTTATTCTGTAGATGAATTAAGAGCGTCATGGCAGAGTGAAAACGCCATACATCTTTATTCTGTAGATGAATTAAGAGCGTCATGGCAGAGTGAAAACGCCATACATCTTTATTCTGTAGATGAATTAAGAGCGTCATGGCAGAGTGAAAACGCCATACATCTTTATTCTGTAGATGAATTAAGAGCGTCATGGCAGAGTGAAAACGCCATACATCTTTATTCTGTAGATGAATTAAGAGCGTCATGGCAGAGTGAAAACGCCATACATCTTTATTCTGTAGATGAATTAAGAGCGTCATGGCAGAGTGAAAACGCCATACATCTTTATTCTGTAGATGAATTAAGAGCGTCATGGCAGAGTGAAAACGCCATACATCTTTATTCCATATACCTCAACATAACTTCCTTAGTGCCGAGATTTTAATCAATTATATCTTATGAAGTATGTCAGATAAAATAGGAACACTTACCAGGAATATTTTTGGACAAACACTCGTCGACCATGGATGTAGATATTGCATGCATCGTGTTCTCGTTATCGTTGTTATTGCATTTATCCTTAAACATGCCAATAAGTGTATTTTTTAGCGGATTGAAATTGTCTCCCAGGTCATGGAAAAACTCAAGAATAAAAGCTAGTGCAAATACGGCTATGTTAAGGTAACCGCAATATATATCTATCTCAACGACTATTGTAAATATAAACATAACGATAGAATGGAGCGCAAAGTGGATCCCAATGAACAATGTTAAAATAGCGGGAAATTGTGTGATTATGAAAATAGTGAGAAATGTGAATCTCTTTATGAATAACGAAAAACGATTTTCGGCTTCTTTATTGTATAGAATACAGCTTGGGAGCGGAAAATACATTAAATTTAAAACACCGAAGGAATATTTTTCAAATATGTTATCTTTCCTGAATGAACGTTGGAATTTCTTCTGAAAATAATTTTCCGCGTCTTTGTTTTCATAATCAAAGAGATGAAAAACAATAGGGAACGTTAGTACCACAATAAAGTACAATGTGAGGAATCTATAGTGATATATTAAGAGTTTTTTTTGCATGAGTACATCGTCCGACCACTGAAAATAAAATGACCCTCTCAGTCCGTGTTCTTCGTAAGCTTTCATCAGATTCGTGAACATAGTATCCGTTTGGAAGTGGGACAACATTAGTGGCACGTTTAAGGCAACTAAAATGGCCAAGAACAATAGCCTTCTTATAATAACAACTCCAAGTCTGCATTTTGGGTTGTCTGGCTGAGGAGTAGAAAAAATATTATGTGTATTAGAAAATGATAAGATGAGATATAAGAGAAAAGTATATTGCTCGTAAAGGATTCACTCAGGTCAATTTTAAATAAAAACGGCGGTTTAATTTTGAAGAAAACATTTATAAGTCTACACAACTATTAATATTAACAGTTTCTTAGACCAGCGTTTCCCAAACTTTTAGGTTTAGAGGACCCACGGACAAGTTATTAATATTTTTTGTTAAATTTGTGTTTGACCTTACATACATTTGCTGCATGTTGTGTGGGCAAGCAACGTAAAGCTCGTTGACCGACGTCAGTCAGAGGATCACAACTTGGGAAACGGTTTGCTTGAAATTTCGGTTGTGTTCAATATTGTCTATTTAAAATGCTTAGTTTTAGGTTTAGAGCATGTCAACAGTTTTCGGAAAAGCAAAAAGATACGCTCGTTTTGTTCAAAACTGATCTAAAAAAATTTCATTTATTTTTTTATTGTAATAAGAATTTAAGTCCCTGATCTCAAATAATTACATACAACTTAAAAGGCAATCTTATTACATAGAATTATTCTTCTGCATCTCAGATTTATTCCAAAACCTTAACTGACCATCGTAAATATGCCATGTTGGCTCATTGTTTCCTTCAGACAATTTCATAGGAGGTGAGATTAGATGAGCTGATGGTAGTGATGGTGATGTGGGGGGGGAGGGGTAGATGGTGATGGAGTATCTCACAGCGTTAAAAGTGATCTTGATCTGGTGTCACGCAACCCATATAAATTTAATCAATTTTGGTAGATTTTTTTTTTTTTGTCGACAAAATTCGATTCGAGAATTGGTTAGGAATTAAAGCAGAAATTGATGTCGCATCAGTCTTCCCAGCAAAAGTAGGTAGGAGGGAATCAGTGAATCACTTCAAAACAAAACGTCTGATAAACTCAATGGAGATAAGGGGAGGAATGCGATCAGGTTAATAATAATGCAATAAGACATACACTAAGGGCAGAGGAGACCGGGAAGAACAACACTAACAGAAACTGAACGTTTCAAGCAAAAAGCCTTCGACAACAAAAACAGTTTCAGACAGATACAAACGCTCTCGACTTGTTGTCTAGATATGTAGTCGACATGAGACGGTCGACATATGCATTTCGGAACTCACGCGTGAAATCAATATATTAGCCTATGATAAAAATTCAAAACGTCTGATTTTATTTTTTTTCATCCTTATACACTTACTCGAACAGCAGCAGAAGAGATTCTGGAAAAAGTCGTATCCGGAAAATTGATCGAAAATAAATTTCGTGGACGGTAAATTGATCGAAAGGTAATTTGATTGAACGGAAATTTGGTCGAATCTTTTCTTTTTTTCAGTACTTTGCTTTAAATTTTTTTTAACGAATTATTTGATTTTACTATAAAATACTTGAATAAATGACCCGATGTTATCGGGATAATAATGGTAGATACTTTGGGACAATTTTTAAATGCTATTGCAAAAACTCATCACAATTCATAACTTTAAAAATGTAATGTTATTTATGTTTCTAACATCATTTAGTTTTGAGAAGAATCTATCTTCATTTCGTTTCCTACTACATTTCACGCTCCTAAAACTATTTTTCCCCATCTAAACATGACCTTAAATTAATCAGTCTAAATTATCCCTAATTATATAACTTTTATCACTAAAGAATTTAATTAAGGGACAATTACTACTTTATTTACCCCTTTTCATGCCCTTGAATTAAAAAAATTTTCTGTAAAAATTGTTTAAAAACTTACGTTAAATTTCCACCAAAATCTCTATATATGATATAAAAATATTTTACATGATAAGAATTCGATATACATTGATATTTTCAGCAAACTTTAAACACATTTTTGCCTTTAAAAAAAATTATATATTATCAGACAATCGTAAAACAAAGAATTATTTTATCTAAAGAAGAAACTCGCAACAGTTTTTCACGTCTATAACAGATTTGAGTGTTTTTTGTTTTTTAATTTAAATGGTTAATCTCATAAAATACACATCTCTTGACTTTTTGCAAAGTAAAAAACAAAAATATATTTCAATTTTTTGAAAGTAAATAATTAACCTCTATTTTTCAAAATTAATTTTTCAAGTGTGTAAGATGATTGGGTTTTGATATTCATGGTTATACTTATATAAATGTACCCAAGATTTGTTAACGCCATTGATTTTCTTAAATGGTAAACAGATGTATAATTAATAAAAATAGAATATAACATCTCTTTTTGACCAATGTCATACGATTGGTGTTAACTATTTTGTCATCCACGTAAAAATGTACATATCTTATTTATTACCTCAGACATGCATTTACCCAAGAAAATTAAGTATTTATCCAAATTATTCCTTTATTTTGAGACGTTTTTTGTCCTGCCTTAAGCAAAATGAACATATACATGAGTAAAAAGAGAATATAACATAATTTTTTTCTCAAATGTAATACCATAATTTTTAAATATATTTTCATCCACATGAAAAGGTGCACATCCTATTACCTACCTCCGACATGTATTTACCCAAGAAAACTAATTATTTATCAAAATCATTCCTTTATTTTGAGACGTAACTTGTGCTGCCTTGTTCAAAATGGACATACACATATTTGTAAAAAGAGAATGTAACACCTCTTTTTACCGTAGGATTTAAATATATTGTTATCCACGTGAAAATGTACATATACTTTTTCCTACCTCCGACATGCATTTATCCAAGAAAATTAATTATTTATACATTTCATTCCTTTATTTTGAGACGTATCTAGTGCTGCCTTTGGCAAAATGGACATATCACTATTTGTAAAAAGAAAATGTAACATCTCTTTTTCACCAATGTAATACGATAAGAGTGTACTATATTGGCATCCATATAAAAATGTACACAACTTATTTCCTATCACCGACATGTATTTACCAAAGAAAAATAATTATTTAGCAAAATCATTCCTTTATTTTGAGACGTATCTTGTGTTGCTTGGGCAAATTAACCAACCCCTCCCCCACCCAGATATAAATAAATTTAGACAAATCTTCCACCTGATTATAGTTCCTTCCATACCCAAACTTCATATGGTTCGTTCTTTTTTGTTTTAGTTAAAAGTGGATTAGTCAATGCTTTTTGGCTATGAAGTTGCGCTGCACTGTTTGACTTAAACCGCATTTTTTTCTTAGAATTATATTTAAAAGTCATTTTTTTTATTACGTTATAATTTAATAAAGGTGTATTTTTTGGAATTAAAAAAAAGGCTAAACTTTTTAGATTTTAAAATATACACAGCTGAAATGTGTGTGTGTTTTATTAACAATTCAAAAAGCAATTGTCTTTATTAATTTTACTTTTAAGAATGGAAAATACATTTTCAAATTTCGTCACGCATGGTTATAAAATTTAAAGAAACCTAAGAGTTTTGGAGCAATAGGCTATTCACACTATGACATCATTTGCGTCATTATTTAGAATAAATTAATTTAAAATTAATATTAACAACGCACTAAAAGACGCACTTAGAACGACTGATGTTTGGTTTTTCCCGATAAATGTTACTACGGTGTAATTCTTTAATCACGATTTTTTAAATTTTTAAAATAATTGTATAACTTTTAAACACATATAAAAGCTTTAAAAAATATCCTTATTTGTAATTTATAATAATAATACTTAAATGTTTACTAAAATAAAAGCGGATTTAAAATATTTTTTGCGCATTTAAATTTATTCGATTTACGTAAAATAATAGACAATAACTATGATTGTTTTTAGGAATCCGAAAGTACTTAAATCATACCTCCCTTATGTCCTTATGTTACCCTAGCTCATACTATCTAATATAGTGCTTTCGAAAAGAAATTTGACAGAAATTTTAACGTGTGAACTGAAAAAAGATTCGATCAAATTTCCGTTCGATTAAATTACTGTCGATCAATTTTACGTCAACGAAATTTCTTTCTACAAATTTCAGGTAACCGGGAAATTTAGGTTACATTAACCTGGTTATTCTTTTACAAATCCTCACCAAATAATAATAATGCTTACTTTTTTTACGTTTGAGATCAAGAACTTGAAAGCAACATGTGATTTTTTTTTTGGAAGACCAGGAAAGAGAGAAAAAAAAAGCAATAGAATTGTGAATAATTATTTCAACAAACTCAACATATTGAAAAGATTTTCGTGTGAAAAAAAGTATATGATCTTTGCTATTCATATCAATGTCTGAATGTTGTCGTGACAGTAATCAAGAATCTATATATATTTTGCCAGCCAAGGTCAAACACCACCACGCAGGCTATTTATAGATACGCCAGAGTGTGGTTAAATAATAAGTTCAGGAGGCGCAAAATATAAATCCCGATAACTACGCTAAATGATAAATATCTATTTTTAATAACGCAATTGCATAATGTTTTCTCTTCGGAAATGAAATCTTCTCAATTTAAATATTGTTTAAAAATGTTTGGTTTAAAAGTCGTTGTGACATGAGACTACTAATACAGTTCATAAGCGTAAAATAAAAATGTGTGCTGTGACGTATCATGGGGGAAGGGGTGTAGCAATTATCTGGATTCTTAAATGTGCGTTACTTGAGTTCATGTTTTGTCAAGTAACTTTACTAGATGGGAAGCTCACGCCACCAATATTTGGCGGGCTCTATCTAGTCAAAATATATTTCTTTTTTTTGATTAAAAAAGAATTGGTCACAATAATCTTAGGAAATAAAAGTGAAGATGCAAGTTTATAATCATTGCAGCTTGGATTGATGTGATGATAAGATTAATTTGCTGACATCCTCACTGGGCTTCTTTTGAAAATGATAATACCGAAAGATTTTTAGTTGTAGCCTGGTAGACGTGCATGAAAAATGTTCCTCCCCAAACATAGAGTATTAACTTTGTCCGGCCACCTTTGTAGATAGAACACCCAAACACAATTTTTTGGTTCGAATATGCATCTTCGCTGAGAAGCAAACTTTAATTCAAGTTGTTTCTTTCAGTTTTTTTTTTATAAAACATCTGTAGATCGATGGTTAGATTATTGGAACTGGTCTTCCGTGAAGTACCACCCCCTTGAGAGCCGGATTAAAATTAAAGTTTGGCCTTAGTATTGCCTGGAATAGCATTTAGTCAAAATGACTCCGTACACGCAGCGCCGCCATTGGCACCCGGATCCGATTTCACCAATGCTATTCGGGTGTCATTTGTGGTAGTTTATTATAGTTAAACTGAAGAAGTAAGTGTAATGACTTTTAGTCCATTTAATTATCTTTCATTTGATACCTCATTTTGTCTTACAAACCCAACAATAATATTTTAAATAGTTGTAGTTTTTTAATCCCAAACTCTCACTTCTGGTACACGTGTACCGAATAGGCGCAGGATTTAATTTTTAAAAATATTTTTTTTTTTAAATATGATTGGTAACACCGGAAAGACAGGACCTCGCTACATAATCACGAAAATAATTTTTTCGGAAATTTCCCTGACTGAAATTCACATGCACAGTTTGTTGCAGAAATCATTTCGACATATAATAGTCAAAATCTTTTTTAAAAAACGATTCCGTTGATGGCATATATGATACGGTCGGATGACTCAGTGATTGTAATTTTTACATAAAAATCTAAACATATTTTTTTTCTTCTGCTGAATGTTACCTTGCATTTAAAAATCCAGTTCAATAATCTTTTTATGCTGTGTGTTTTCTCGTATTTGTTGAAGAGTTTATGACGAGCAACGATGCAGCTGACGGCCGTTACACGTGCAGTTTTAATTTGATCTCTTTCCAAATTTTTCATTTTCGATTTCAAACATTCCATGTTTTCCCATTTCGTTTTTTCCAAAATAATTTTATTTGGATGATCTTTACTGTTGAAACAAAATATAAATGTAACAACTTAATTTGTAACAACAAGACAAAATATTTCGATTATTTTTTTTAAAATTTAGGTTATAATTTTAATTACATTTTTTGTTATTAACATTCTTACTAACTTTTAATAATAATATTTTCAAAAATTTAATGAGATAAAATAAGTCAGGTAAATTATTGTGATTTATATCTTTAAAATAACTTATAAAAAATGTTTGCTTACTAGTTATCTGGTTGGGTTGTTTTAACAATATCAAAGTGAATGTCTGACTCCTTAGGTATTTTGTGATAGTATATCTCATCTCTTGTTATTGTTTCCGGAAGAGAAAGTAAAGGGATACAATTATAATAATAACAACAACAAAAATAACAAGAGATTTGAAATTATGCAAAGTTATACTGCTACTATAGGTACAAAAAGTCATAGCTGTTATGGCAAAATTAAACTTAAAGAAAAACATTTTGACAACATTTCTAAAAATGAATGACTAAACGCAACACGCGCGGGAATAGTTGGAATAGGATAAAAACTCCCAATTGCTTCGGTGTCAAGTTGGAAAAGTAGGTCCCTCTTGTACATCCATTGAAGCGATTTAAACGCTAGAGCCACATGTAAAATAAACCAGGTTAAATAGCCTTCACGGACCAGCTGAAGTTCCAACGAAAATCTCTTAAGTCTCTAAATTTCGTAGACGTAAGAGGTACCGTTGATTACTGCCTCCGGGTCCAGGCCTTCGTAAGCCGTACGGCTCTAGAAGTGCTAGACCAGCGTTCCCCAATCGGTGGTCCGTGGACAGGCACCGGTCCGCAAGCCTTACGTCACCGGTCCAGAGAGCATGAATATTGATGTTGAAATAGAAAGAAAATGTAATTCATAAATCTGGCACCGGTCCCTGGTGCAGTTTAGAAACTTGTCCATCGGTCCGTGAAACTTAAAAGTTTGCGAAACGCTTTGCTAGACCACCGACGACAGATCGCTCTCTGTTTAGTGCGTGGGGCGGGTTTGTAGCACACTCGAAGTCGGTCGCCGTAGAGATATTTTCCTAGGTCATCATTGGATTCTTCTTAAGAGCCGTTATAATAATATGTTATCACATTAGTCTGTTTTAGGATTTGTTTCGTAGATGAACGTCACAAGGATCGGAAATCCTGTGTACTAAATAGACGATACCAAACACGGTAAAGTTTTACAATCAACATTTTATTTACACCAGCATTTCTGATATTAAGTTGCAATTCTCGCACCTTTCCAACAGCATTAACTCTGTCGTTCATATTAAAAAATGACAGTTTCAAATGCATTTCTAATCCAAGGAGTATCTTAAAAGATGCAGGGTTAATTTGGATCACAAGCAGTTTTGTTTTGTTTGTTTGTACTGATGAAGGCATGTGCCGAAACGTTTAATTTTGTATAATGTATAATTATTATTAAAGCTAACTCATATTGTTCTATTGACACAATTTGTTCGTGTCTTATTAATCAGTTTTGAAAATCGTTCTACAAACATTCGTCGTCCTATTTTTCCTGGTATTTTCCTACTATAATTTAAGAATTATATATTATCAAGACTACACTGTCCATAGCTCATTTTCCTATATTTAGAACTTTATGTGCCCTGTGATGCCTTGTTCGCCACAATTCGATATAATTGTATGTAAATTATATATAAAATCATCATTACTTTAACTTTATAAAATCTTTGTATTTCCTCCTCAAATAAGTCTTTCCAAATTCTCTTTCGAGAGAAGGTACAATCGCGTCCCGACAGATTTCCTCCAGTCAGTGGCGTTTCTGTAATGCTGACTTTAACTTGTGATTATTGCTCGGGGCCAATGTTCCCTTTAAGCTGCGCGGCCGCGCTGCTATCTCACAGACGCCGCGCAGCATTTTTGAGTATCCGCGCAGGAAATTTCCATGTAAGTGTGTGTTTGTGGGCTGTAAAATTTTGCACACAAAAAAATTATTGATGTAAAACTTTGCACACATCTGCATGATTTTGCACACGAACCAGCAAACCTTAGAGGGAACATTGCTCACTGTTCAGCCGACTCATTTACATGGGTTGTTATGCGACCAATATCTCAATCTGCTTACTGCTGGATCCATAGTTATATCGCGTTTGATATTCGGCAAAAGTAACTAGAGTACAAAAAACGTATTTAGGAATCGGCAAAAAATCTGAGACGATTTAATGATCTTCAAATTCAGTGCCCTTCTTTATTACATTCCATTGAACATTCAAACATCACAATGGGTGTCCCGTCTCCTCGAAGCAAACACAACCTTAAGACGAATGTTTATATCGTCTTGGATACAAACTGTAAACATTATGGAAACATTTCTTTTCCTACTCTTTAACGTTACATGAACACATACTATCTAATAAGGGATTCGAGACTTCTTCTTTTCTATATTTTGAGGGCCAACGATCAATGGATTGATCATTCCGACGCCTATGTTTCAGAGGGGTTCGCGATGGGTTTTGATGGGGGTACTTCACTTGTTGCATGTGCTACTCAGCAGTGGTATTATGAACTGGGGGTTGGAAGACAGAAGATAAGAGACACAATGTGTCGAGTGTAGTTGCCTCAACTGGTGCTTTTGGAAGCTGGCTCAAGTCCATTATATGCTTTGTCAGGAATTAGGAGCTCCTGTACTGAGTTCTTGTTTTTATTAGTCGGAACTGCCTTTTCGCTGTCTAAGGGGGAGAGGGACGAGTTTCTGTTTAATGCTGGAGCAGTGGACCAGCCCATTTTTGATTTTGTACAACACGGAGAGCCAGCCTGGATTGTCTTGGTCGTTCTTCCAATGGTGACCAGCCCACTGGTTCCATTATGCTGCCAACACTTGAGGTGTTTTTGTAGTGGTTCAGAACAAAGTGTGCAACCCGTCGCTGAACTGCCGTCATACTCCCAATGTTCTTATGGGTAAATGGGTCCCAGACTGAAGATGCGTACTCTAAAAGTGGCCGGACAAAGGCTTTATAGGCTTTTTCTTTCGCGCTTGTGTTGCCGATCTTTCAGATTTCGCCTTAGCAACCCCAGGGTCTTGTTTGCCCCATTGCACACATTGTCAATGTCCTCGTCCCAACAAATCTTTCTTTGAATGGTAACACCTAGTTACCTATCGGAGGAAACTGGCTCAAGAATATGGCCATGCAATTCGTAAGGGTTGCGTAGAGGGGATCTGCTTCTGGAGACTGACAGGGTCTGGCACTTGATGGGATCAAATTCCATGTCCCAACTTATCTCACATTCTGCTAACCGATGGAGGTCATGTTGTAGATGGTCCTGGTAGCGATCGAACTATACACCACCGTGTCATCTGCGAACAGTCTTGCTTGAGATGTCAACTTCTTGTGCAGGTCATTTAAATACGCTAGGAACAAACAGGGGCCTAGCTCCGAGACTTGGTGGACCCCTGACTTGACACCGACAAAGGAAGAGGTCTTACCATCTACCACTTCTGCCTGGCATCGGTCGCTGAGGAAGCTAGAGATCCATGTTTTATGAGTGCCTTGGATCTCATATCTCTGAAGTTTGTGTAAAAGCAAACTATGATTAACACGGTGAAACGTCTTTGAAATGTCCAGCACAAGCATATCAGTTTGCTTGCTGTTCTCCGAATCGGTCGTCAATTCTTCAGCAAATTCAAGCAGTTGGGTCTCCCATGATCTGTTGACTCGAAAGACATGCTGACAGTCATTGAGTATATTGTGTCTTTCGAGGTGATTCATGACCGCGCGTACGATTATGTGCTCCAATAGTTTGCAAACTACGCTGATGAGGGATAAAGGGCGGTAATTGGCAGGGTCGTAAGGATCCCCTTTTTTTTGTAGATGGGGGACTCGTGGTGTGATGTTGTCAGGACCACAAGCCTGCTGATTGAGTTTGTCCATCTGTTCTCTTGGTTCAGACGTCTAACTGCCGTCCCATCCCAGGGGGGAAGCCATAGTTTTTGATGACATTTGGTGCTTGACGTAGCTCCATAACCGCTTGTTCTTCACATCCTTGGCCGGAGTATCTTCCTCTGTGAAGATGCCGTTCAGGTAGTTCCAGTAAGATCTGCGCAGTAAGCGCTGGATGTTTTTTCGCAGTCTCAGAAATTCGGCTTTGAGTTCGACCGAGCCATTCGTCTTCATTCGTTGGAACTGGCGGTCTCTCCTGTGTATAACCCTACGGATTTTCAGCCGTGTCTTATGGCTGATTTGTCTTAGGTTTAGTGGTCTTGTGTGTTATGTATTTCTTAACTGCACCAGTGTTTGTTGTTTTAAACTTTATATACAGCTCTTCTGTTGTCGCATTACCCTGAATCTCATGCATGTTTAGCTCAGCTCTGTCGTTACACTTCTCAGGCTTTCCCAGTCTGCCTTGGCATAAATAGGGATTTCTCGCATAGCCTGCTTTTTTTTTTTAGTTCACTCAGCTGAAATCTTGTAATTTTTAGCTGAAAATCAGGACAAAAGATACCCTATTTGTGTGGCCCCTCTCTCAAAAAGTATTTCATCTGATTCGATATATTCAGTGGAATTCGCATGTTACAGGAAGATCGCTGAAGCATTTTTTATGTTATTTGTGTCCTTATTAAATATGTGCCACATACATATCCAATATTTATAAACTTGTTGCTTTCATTGTACCACACGTTCTGCACGTCTCCAGTCGTTATGATTTTATAGGAACAAACAGATCTTTGAAGGTTGCACATTTCAATTTTTAAAATCAGTATAATGAGAATTGTATTTAACATTATGACGGTTGTTAAACTCAGTTTCTATCTTCAAACTGAAGTTGACAGTGACACCGATGAATACAGAATCCTTGGAAATTTTGAATATTCTCTTGTACGAATGAATTCTGAATTTTTTATTTTTTTTTTTATTTTTTTTGCAGCAACCATCAATTCATTGAAGCAAAGTAATTGCTATTCTCTCATATTTCGTGTATTATGAAGCGAACGTTGTTTTTTTCCTTGAAGTCTTTGGTATCTACGGCATCGTGTTCTTCGACACACAAGAAATTTAATTGATTTGCTCAAGTGTTACGAATATTTCATCTGATCGTGTCATAAGTGAACAGTTCGAAATTTAACGCTACACATAAAAAGCTTGGAGTCATACAACTAAATAGTATGCATGCCATGTGTATATTCTTTTAAGAGACGAATGCATCGCTGATGGCTCAGTCGTATTACATACGATTCTACATTTCAAGGGACGATGGCTCAATCGTGTTACAGATTATTACGATTTCAGTAAAAAGGTATATATATATATATATTTAAACAATTCAACTTCAGAGGCAGTTTAAAAAATTCAATTTAATGCAGATATTGTGCACTTGATTTTCCCGCTTATTTTACACATGAAATTGTTTTATTCTAACGTGTATAACATTATCAAACAGCTTCAATATGTGTAAAATGTTCATACCCGTAAAGGCTGTAGATCCCTCCGATTAGTAAAGGAAAGAGAATTACTAGAACGCACGTCAATATGAGGATTAAGATGTTACTGACTATAACCAAAATGTCAGTGATAACTTCATGGCAGCAGATAGATTTTTCGTAGTTTATGTCACAGCAACTGTAAAAATACATTTGATTGAAAAATCTGAACGAAAAAGTAATGTGTCTGTTTTGTTGGTTGTTTTTCTTTTTCTTTTGTTTAAATTATTATTATTTTTTTAAAAATATTATTGGTAATACTGGAAAAAAATTCTTCAATATTTCCCTTTGACATTAAAAAAAAAAAAAAAATTATTTGAAAACTATAGCATCTTTAGCCAGTCAAGCCGAGATCAACTTACTTAAAATGGAGTTTGCCAAACCCGTTGTCGAAGCTTTTGATTCCAGCCGAGCAGATCCTAATATCTTCCGCGTTGATAAATCTGCGTCTCCACGAATCTCTGTGAATATCAAAATCTGAAAATAGCAAATGCGTTAAAATGGATTATTCACCTTGAGCTTGGTTTTGATGTATTTCTAAAAATTTATTTTATTTTTAACATCTGCAAAATGTATACATTTTTTTGAAAAAGTAAATAGATTATAATTTGAAAAAGGATTAGGTATTGTAGAAATACTTAAATAGCTATTTGGACAGTGGTTGATCAAATTTCGGGTCAGTAAAATCGATTACGCCATGATGTCAAGGGTATGAGAATCACTGTTGTTATGAGTAGATCATTGTTTTCATGTTTGATAGGGAAAAGATGTTTAGTTAGAGATTTTATGTGTAGCCGTATCGTGGATGTGAGAGTGTTGTGACGTAATTGTGTAAGGGGGAAATGACGCGTTAGTTTTGGTCGATGTTGTGATGGAAGATTGATGGCGGATATACTGGATGAACTGTTTGGATTTCTATATTGAGTAGCGTTTTGGTTGGAGTGATTTGATTATCCATTCTGAAATTATACATCAACCATAGTTAATGGAGTAGTGTTAAGTAAACTCCTATCTAGCTACAAGCCTGTTAACGTTAGTTGTATTATTAACTGTTGATATTAGCTCTATTGTTCGTGGGATCAAGTGAGAGTGCCATGAGTGGATAATTACAACACAACAGATTCAACGGTTCGACACATGACAATACCCTTTTTATGCGTTTTTTCTATATATTTTATGTAATGGTGTAATTGTTCAGGCATATTTCATTTTTGGGTGCTGTTGTTTTATTCCAATTTTAATTGTGTCGAAAAACAAAGTTCACAGCAAATAGACTAAAATCGTTGTCAAATGCCTGTTTACACTAGAATGGTTAATTTATCGAATTATTTCACACGTTATAATACGTCTTACGAGAAATGAATCGACTCAAGTCATTTTTCATAATAAATACAACTTTAACATCTTATGTAAATTCACAGACTGTTAATTCCATATACATTGCATAATAGGGCTCGCTATCAGACAGAAATAAAACATACGTCAAACAATAGGTCATCATTAGTATAAAAATACGTCAATAAGACAAGCGTGGGGACAGCTTTCACTAACTAATTGATCTCTAAAAAAACACAACGTGTAATCAAACATAATAGCTAATCGCAACAATTACTAACGAACTCGAGTACTCGACAAGCATGTTTTTAATGGAAATGTTCGTAATATTGCGGTAATATTTAAATGGCACTTGTTAAGAGTCAGTAGTTTTCTTCATTATATCGGCACTGCTGTAAATCATTTTAACAACGTGGGTCTCACCGAAACACACTCCATGACAGGGTGGTTAAGAATGTCATAGGTGGCATATCTTTTCAAAAAACTTTGAAAGCGTGTTGGTAGGTAAGGTCCTTATTAATATATGTCAGAGCAATGTCCGGCTCTCATCTGTTTCTGTATCGCCAGACCTGATCTCGGTGTTTGAGTTTTGTTCAATATTTGTACTTTGTCATAAAGTTTCCTAGTACTCTGCGTTGTCTTACCTCCCGTCATTTTACAAACATAGGCGTAAAACAAACACTAAACCCACTATCTGTTGCATATTCACTGATGCCTGGCTTATCTGTTTAGTTTTCAACTCTCACGTACTAGGTTGGTAACGTTTGGTCTGTTTTTGTCTAGTTTTTTTTTTTTTTTTTTTTTTTTTGGAGGGCCAAAACTTTTTCCTTTTGAATTTTTCCGCCTGTTTTATTTTTTTTTGTTTTTTTTTTTTTTTTTTTTTTTTTTTTGCTTTTTGTTCGTTTTTTTTTTTTTTTTTTTTTTTTTTTTTTTTTTTTGGAGAGCCAAAACTTTTTCCTGTAGAATCTTTCCGACTGTTTTGAGCGGACTGATTCGGTCTACCTTACTCGAATATACTTTGTCACACTTTAAGTTCTTAGACTGCCCCGAGCTCAACTGCGTTGAATTTTCTATATACTTAAATCTGAATGCCGCCAATGTATCTAAGCCTGTCTAATTAGATACATGAACTCCATTGATGGTGGCCCATTTTTTAAGCACTGAAATTTGAACTTTGTGCCTGTGAAAATGTGTAAAATTCCTAACCAAGCAACATTTTGTACTACCAGAAGGTTACGATCATGTGCTGCTGATTGATTCACCCCTGTGGGCGCCCCTCATGAATTTCCCATTGCCTACTTGTAAGTGGATACATAAACAATGTCTTGGTCGCGTTCTTTAAGGATCGTTTAGCTAACATGACTTAGTCTTGGGCAACACTGACAATAAATCTGAGTCAATAATAGATACCCGATTTTCTTGTTTAAGATTGTATTTTCCAGTTGCATGGAAGTATTTTTCCAAACACAAATAGTTTCATCTTTCCTGTAAAACTTCACCCCGCCCTACAATAAGGCAACGCATAAAGTTAGGAATTATGACTATACTATTTTTCTTTGTAGCTGTCTTCCTGTCCGCTGGTAAGTGGGGAATGGGACGGTAAAACAGCCGAACAGCTTTTAAATCTCGTTTGTTGGCACTGCTGAGTGTCTGCGCCTGACAGGGCAGTGTTCGGATTCGAATCTTTATCCAGCCTACAAAATTAGGATCTTTATTGTAAAAAAAACTTAACGCATTAAAATCGTATTTGCAATCTGAATTACCCAGCCAAGATACAGATAATTCTATGTCCAACCCGAAATCTTCTATTGTGTCATGGCTTCTCCGAGAATTACGATACCTAGCTGAAATTTAAGCTTTAAAAAATCCTTTAAATATATAATTATTTTTATGGAGGAAAAGTTACGTGAGTAAATCAAAGTCTAAACTTAATGCGAAATAGATCGATATCGTTTAAAATAATTATATTTATTGTTATACACAGATCACATTTTTTCATTACCGCTAAGTAGGAAGCTTCTTATGGCATGCTCCAATGATCCATTTCTCAATTGATCCAGGCAATCGGGTGGGCTCACGTCGAGTTGAATGGATTCTTCCATGACACCTCGATGCAAAAAACTGTACAAGGTACCGAAATAGTTCTCATAGCTCCGTAACAAACATGATGAATGAGGTCCGTGTGTTCGGTACCATCTGTAGATTTAATGGAAAGAAATCATTATTGCACAGTAATAGATATTGAGGGCTATTATTTAACACATTTTCTGAAGATATTTTTTACTAGAAAAAATGTTTTTAAATAAAATATTTTACTTAAGAGTAAAGGGAAACATCCATTTAAAATAAATTGATATGGACTATCTCTCTTGAGAAAAATGGCAAAATTTGTAAATTAATAATCTATTTGACCTATAAATTCGGTTAAATACGTATATATATACATCATCATCCGTGGTGCTACACAATGAAGGGCCCAGGCCTGCTCCACCACATCCATCCATTTCCGCCTCGATGCGCGAGCCACTACTTGGTGTCAGGCCTTCTCTACATCGTCGATCCATCTTAGTCTTGGTTAACTGGTGAGCCGTCTGCCCCTAGGCTTCTGACTATAAATCTCTTTTGTCGCTCTACAGTGCGCCATCCTTTCAATATGTCCTACCTAACGCAATCTGCCTTATTTCATTTTTTCGACAATGGGTGGGTGTTTGTACAACATTGGTATAGCTCTTGGTTTGTACGGATTCTCCAAACATAAGTGTCTACCACTGCGCCATTTATTTTTCTTAGCATTTTTCTATCCCATGTATTGAGCAGGTTCTCAGCTTTTCTGGTAAGGGACCAATTATCTAAATAATAATTGTCTAATTATAGTGTGTTATATTGTTTTCTTTGTTCCCTTCGAGATGTTTTAGCCTCCCAGTAGCTTTTTGTAGGATGAATAGTAATGGTTGCCTACTCTTATATACATATATATTTTTTTTTAATTTAATTTTGCTCAGCGTGTTTTTAACAAACACCACACCCCTCTTTCCCTTTTTTCGACCTTAAAACCCTCCCCTAAATCCCACTACGCCGTCACTCAATAATCACTATCTTAGTTATTCTCCCTCCATCCCTTTCTCGTCATGCGGATAGCATTTCATTTGCCCATAAGCCTTACATAGCCTTTTTTATAGTCATAAACTTTATTACATATATCTTATCAATATTCGTCTTATTTAATAAACTTAAGTTCTATTTCAGGAGAGCTGTGCATTCATGTGTTATTACGATGTAGTCTCAAGTGTATTTGTTTTAACTACACCCTCTAATCTCGTGTCGCTAACCACAGTCTTCCTCCTCATATTACAACTCTACCATGAAACCCTAAAAATATCCCCAGAATTTAAGCTACACCCCTTTATGTAGGTGCGCCCGAAAATTATTCCTAAGCGCTTACACCCAATGAATGCCGTTAAAAAAAGAATATATTTTTTAATACAGGTTATTTTTTATGTTGAGATCTGCAATTTGGTTTTTTCCAACTCCTGAAATCGACAACCATTTCCTTTGTTTTTGAGACATTCAGCTGAACACAATTTTCATCGCACCGATTGATAAAGTCTGTAACTAAATTGCGGAATAAGTCTTGTCCTTCAGATATTAAGCCAACGATGATGGTATAATCAGTTAATTTTATGATTGGAGTGGCGTCGCTTAACCTCCGAATATCACTGGTGCATCTTGTATACATGACAGTGATAAATTAGTAATAAATGCTGCATTGGAAGTCACATTATTTTTGCGTTTATCAAAATAAATTAATTAATTATCGATTTCAAACCTACTTTAAAATCAAGTACTGGTAGTAATTTTTTAAAAATAATTATAGTTACCTACAAAGAGTAGCAAAAATAGTCCAGATTTAAGAATAGCGTTTTAGTTGACTCCAATGTACACATTCAATTTTGGACAATTATTATTTTTATTATTATTATGTTAATTGTTGATTCAAAATAAATGTTGACATTTGTTAGTTTGGAGAATTCTTATCACAAAATTTAGTATTTTGTAAAAGATGACGAGGACAACCAAATGTTTACTTACTTCCAAGGTTGGAAGGAATCTTGACTCGCCTGATTCAAGAGGTTAAACTTGCTGCTTACTTTATTGAATGTGATGTTGTACTCCACAATTATAGCACCGCTCTCTTTGTGAAAATACTTAGAGAGCCTTTCAAACAGTGTAAAGTTGTTTGGTACTGACAGCACACATTGCGTCTCATTGGACGTTTGGCCGCCGGTGGAGTTAATCCAGAACACGCACAAGCTGAGTAGCGAGACGATAAGATGACAACCTTTATAACCCATACCGTCTGGAAGTTTAGTTCATTGAAGTTGATCAGTGATATTTCTTCTGTGAAATTGTTTCCGAATTCGTCTGCAAAAAAAAAAAATAATTAAAAAATCATAAATTTATTTTTAAAAATACCAATCTCAGTTTTATTTTCAATATCATTAGTTACAAACTGATTTTATGTTCCTTTTAATATATTTTAATTAAATTACGTTGTTTTTTTTCAAGCTTATTTGTTTTCAAACTGTTAGCAAGGTCGTTAGATGAAAGAAATACAATTTTAAATAATATCAAACAAATTAAATTATAAATCATCAATAAGCAGTGGATATATAAGTAACAATGTGTCCATTGTACTCACCCAATCTTGTGTCCATTCTACTCACCCAATAATGTCTCTATTCTACTCACCCAATCATGTGTCAATTCTACTCACCCAATCAAGTGTCCATTCTACTCACCCAATCGTGTGTCCATTCTTCTCAACCAATCGTGTGTCCATTCTTCTCAGACAATCATGTGTCTATTCTACTCACCTAAATATGTGTCCATATAGAAGCAATACTTATTGCCAGCAGTCAATCAGCCAAAAGTTAGGTGATTCAAATGTTTTTGGCATTACCGACACCCTCAGATTATAACGCAGCAATTTTAACTTCCTTTTATAAAGAGAACAGAGGTTGAATCTATAAAAAAAAGGAAATTGTTGGGTATCGATTACTGATTTATCGACCTGTTATAACAACCGGTGACAATAAATGGGCCACGCATTCTATTTATCAGTGTTGGTAACCAACGTATTCCTGAGAAAACAGATTACATGCTAGACCATCTCTTTAAGATAGTTAATTAACTTCAACCTGATGTTGTCTGGTCTAGGCTCTAGGGTGTACAACACTTCTCCTCGCATACAGAGTAAACTCAACAACAACAACAAAAAAAAAAAAAAAAAAAAAAAAAAAAAAACAAAAAAAAAAAAAAAAAAAAAAAAGACCATCTCTTTAAGATAGTTAATTAACTTCAAACTGATGTTGTCTGGTCTAGGCTCTAGGGTGTACAACACTTCTCCTCGCAAACAGAGTAAAATCAACAACAAAAAAAAAAAAAAAAAAAAAAAGAAACAAAACTCAATGAAAGAAGACAAAACAATTCTTTTTTTTACCCTTTGCTTTAAAATAACGATACACACACAATGGATAGCACTTATCTGTCACTGACATGATACCATAACTTTCATGGGAAAGAAAACTTTCTTTAAAAAATATGTGACTAAGCTAACTTGCAATCTTAACCTTAAGTCACTTTAAGATAAAATGACTTTAAGTTCCCTATGGATGATGATATGGTAAAAGAGGCCGAAGTAGCAAAGGTATAAAGGGATATTGGGTATGCCCCAAGGCATTGGCGTAGATAAGTCTAAGGCCACCTGGAGTGGGGCAAGATCCCAATTTGACTGGTGACATTTTTTAGCCGAAGTCTGTGTCGAAACTCTTAATAAGGACGCCATTTTTATGTGTATCCTGTTTGTACATATAATATCGAGGTCACGTTACAAAAATACCTATATTTTCAAACTATTCTTTTTAGATTTTTTTTTTTTTTTTGCAACAGACATGTCTCCTCAGAATACAATTTAAAACTGTCTTATATCTGTATCTTCTTTTTAGAGTCTGTCATGTTTCAACTCTGATGAATGCTTTTTAAGACTTCAACATAAAAAGAATACTTTATCAAACTCATAAACGTTTTGATAAAATAACTTTTAGATCTGTGTCTATGCCCCTAATAAACAATGTCAATCTCAAATAATCTGTGACAGCGATTAAGAAACGAAACAGAAGGTTTGAGACTTTATCAACAGCTAAAATTTTCTTTAAAATGTTATCAAATAATAATTCTTCACACATTAAAATATGTTAACCTTTTCTTTTTTACATGAAAACAAAATTATTTTTCTTCTTCTTATCAATATAACAAAATTTAGTTACTTTTTACATTGCAGATTCCTTGGTGAAATAAAAAAACAAGATCCAGTCTTGCGAACCGCATCTACCCATATTCCCAATGTGGCTTCAGGAGTGGGCGCTCAACAATAGACATGATATTTTCGCTACGCCAAATGCAGGAGAAATGTCGTGAACAGCATATGCCTCTTTATATTGCATTCATAGATATGAACAAGGCATTGCACTTGGTAAGTCGAAGAGGCCTTTTCAGTATCTTGCAAAGAATAGGTTGTCCCCCACGACTGCTCACAATAATACAGTCATTTCACAAAAAACATGCACAGCACAGTAACTTTCAATGGCACTGTCTCTGAGTCATTTCCAGTTAGCAGCGGAGTAAAACAGGGTTGTGTACTGGCACCAACGCTCTTTTCAATTTTCTTTTCGATGCTCCTTCAATTTGCTTTCAGAGACTGTGAAAATGGAGTGTACGACCATACAAGATCTGATGAAAGACTGTTCATTATCGCCCACCTTCGTGCAAAAACCAAAGTAAAAAAGGTGCTGATTCGGGAACTGCTGTTCACTGACGACGCCGCCTTAACATCTCACACAGAAGAAGGTCTGCAGGGGCTGGTTAATCGCCTATAACATGCTTGTAAAGAGTTTGGACTTTCGATTAGTCTACAGAAAACTCATGTAATGATGCAAGAAGCACCGTCCCCTCCAATCATATGCATTGAGGGTCATAATCTTTCGGTTGTTGATCATTTCATATACCTTGGATCCAATATTTCTAGTTCTCTCTCCGTTGATGAAGAGATAAATATCAGGATTGCAAAAGCAGCAGCTATGGCTAAACTGAATAAGCGGGTATAGAATAATCTCAATCTAACTGATAAAACAAAAAATAAGTGTCTATCAGGCATGCGTGCTTAGCACGCTCCTATATGGTAGCGAAGTGTGGACCACATATACCAGTCAGGAGCGGAAACTTAACAGCTTCCACCAAAGAAGTCTGCGTCGCATTTTACGCATTCGTTGGCAGGACAGGGTGCCTAACGTGGAGGTTTTGGAACGTGCACACATGTTTAGCATATTCTCCTTTCTTACCAAGAGACGACTTCGCTGGTTAGGTCATGTACGGAGAATGGAGGAAGGATGTATCCCAAACATACTGCTGTATGGAGAGTTGGCAGAGGGGTCAAGAGATATTGGACGACCGCGCCTGAGAGTTATTGACGTTTTCAAACGAAGCATGAGGGAAGCCAATATTGAAACAAACGAATGGGAGTTCATTGCCGAACATCGTTCCAACTGGTGTACAGCAGTGTTTGAAGGAGTGAAAAAGGCAGAAAATACTCGATACGAGGCCCTTGAATAAAAAAAAAAATTCGGAAATCAAGAATTCACCGGGATTCAATATTCTCCTGCGAAAGATGCGGCCGTGATTGCCATTCTAGGATTGGCTTAGTGAGCCACTCGTCAAAGTGTAGAACTATAGCTACGCCATCGTCTCACGTAGACGGAACGATGCTATATATATATATATATATATATATATATATATATATATATATATATATATATATATACTCTTATTAAAAAAATATATATTCAAACAAAATATATAAAACACGAGAAAGAGTATAAAAATAGATACACCATAGTGTCACACATACAGAAAAAGACTATATATATATATATATATATATATATATATATATATATATATATATATATATATATACATTCCGTTAATCAAAATAAATGTTCATTAACGTAATATAAGATACATAATGTTGTTTAATTGATCCAAAAAATGAGGATAAGTTTTAAATAATTGTACATTTAATTAATTTAATCATATCACTTATAACACAGACGGTAATAAACACAATTCTGATTAACATCAACAATTCTGATTAACATCAAAAATTCTGATTAACATCAACAATTCTGATTAACATATACACATTATTATTAACATAAACAACTCTGATTAACATAAAAATGCATGATTAACATGAACATTTAAAAAAGTCTCTAGAATATGTAAATCACAATTATTGCAACTTAAGAGTGTAGATTAAACCTTTTTCAATAATTCACGAAACATTGAAATTGAACATTCCAAGTTCGACCCCCCCCCCCAACACACCTTAAAATTTTCGAAATTAGCTAAATATTATTCTGAAAATAAACTCTGGAAAACAGTGTACGTGCTTCGCATCACCAAAAAAGTTTTAACAAAGTTAATTTTAAGAGTGCGTGTTTTTTTAAACGCTAACCAACAATTTCTTTGTCCACTCCGACATTAAGGAAACATGCAGAGCTTTGTACTTTCATTATGCACCACTATTTGCTAAAATTTATTTCACATAACACATTGTCTAATTTATTTCACATAACATATGGACTAATTTATTTCACATAATATATTGACTAATTTATCTCACATAACATATTGGATAATTTATTTCACATAACATAATGACTAATTTATTTCACATAACATATTGACTAATTTATTTCACATAACGTATTGACTAATTTATTTCACATAACACATTGACTAATTTATTTCACATAACATATTGAATAATTTATTTCACATAACACATTGACTAATTTATTTCACATAACCTTTTGACTAATTTATTTCACATAAAATATTGACTAATTTATTTCACATAACATATTGACTAATTTATTTCACATAACGTATTGACTAATTTATTTCACATAAAGTATTGAATAATTTATTTCACATAACGTATTGACTAATTTATGTCACATAACACATTGACCAATATATTTCACGCTCATCCCACGGTATATTTCATTGAAGATATAATTATTTGTATACATTTTTCTTTCGAATTTGGCTTAAAAGTGCCGACAGTTGCAAATCTTCACTAAATTATTCATGGACAGAAAAACTCACACGTAAAAATTTACGATTACATTTTAAACCAATTTTGGTCGATCATTTCTAGACACTAAGGAAAAGACCAACGATGGAAATATGTTGTACTGTTTGAGTACACAAGGCATGAGAGAGCGTTTACTTAAGCGATTGCTCCATGCTGCTCTCCATGGGTGCTGTCTAGAAACTTCCAGATTCATTATCACCATCGGCATCAAACTGAAAAAAAATAGCATTAAACGGAATTTGTTAGGCTGCTGTAAGGAGTTGCACATATTCATGTTAAATATTAAGGCATTCAAGTTTAGAATTTCAAGACATGAAAACGTTCATATCTTCTGTATGTTTATAGCATTTAATAATAAATTTAAAAATAAATCATATCACATCAGTGTTTTCAAACCTTGTTTGTGCCATGCTCCACCTTAGCCTTTATAAAATTCGTATGCTCCCCCCTCCCCCCACTATGTAATATATACATAATTTTTAATAACGAAAAAAATGAACTGTCCACTTAATAAAAACTGAATGATAGGTTTAAGGAAGAAGAAATTTTTTAAGGTAACACAGTAAGTACATTATCAAAACATTATAATTATATTTCTATGTTATATAATATGTACAAGGCCCTTTCGCAATTAAATATATATTAATATATTTGGGTCATGGATCTTAATGCAGTCTCTATAACAGCATATGGTGACACAAGATTTACATACAGTAAGAGTGTGATAATTTGTTTTAAACAAAGAAATATATATATATAGCTATATATGTTTATTTAAATTTAAAATTTTTTGCAATACAAGTTTGAGCTAGGATATGAATATAAGTGTTTTCAAGTAGAGATTATGTATTGAATCGTAAAAGATTTCATTTAAATAATAATTCATAAATTGGTTACAATAAAATCATAATGATTGACAAATCATATTTTATAATAAATAAAAAACAAATATTTTAAATAATTTGTATTCGGTTTGACAATGAAAGAAAATAAAACTAATTGTTAATCTTGATATTTCTGAACAACATGAAAATAAAATGTAACAATTTTTTTTTTTGGTTAGCTTAAGAGTAAAAATTCAATGTGTTATAAAATGTAAAATTGATATTCATTAAGCGTAATTGAACGACAGAAATTTAACAACGCTAAAGATAGAAATACAATGATTAGAATCGTTGATAACCTAATAATTTTCAGTTACAGTTCAATATTAAATTGACTATTTTCAAAAAAGTTTTGACCAAGTTAACGTCAAACTTCGATCAAATTTCGATCAAACTGTCAGAAAAAACAAAACCTACGAATAAAGCTACCAATGAGTAAAACCAATGACTCAGTGTCCGTCATCATCTATGGAAACAGTTGCACTAAGCTTGCATTCAAAACATATTTATTTTTTTGGGTTTAAAACATTTTCTCATTTGGATAAACATCAACCTAATTAATTTTAAATATGATGATCTATAATGTAAGAAATGTTACCGCTGTCTTCATTTCCCGCAGCAAGATATAATCAATGTCATGATTAGTAACGTCACTAATTTCAACATCCAATTCTTTGACAGCCCATGTCTCCTCAAAAGTCGATATTTTTTCTTTTAAACTCTCGTGGAAACTAGGGATCACCAAGAAGAATAGTATTTTATATCACATTTTATATTTGTGCATAGCAATTAAAAATCTATTAATGTTTACAAAGAATCAGGGCAGTCTTTCTTTACAGGAGCAGAGCCCCTGAGCACACTAAGGCCACTGACACGCTATACACTCAAGCCCTTGCTTAGGAGGGGGGAGAGGGCCAATCATTCAAGGCGCCAAAATTAGACAAAAAACGTCTTAAGAAAGGCCCTTAATAATGAATCAAAAGATAAAATTCAATGCACTTCACATATTCAATGGCAGCTAAATCGTCTTAGTAGTTCTCCCTGGGCACCGCTTTTCTTGGGAACGCCTTTGTAAAGCTTGCTATTAATTTGAAGTTAGGTAATGCATTATGTCCTACGTTGGCCAATGCGTTTTGACTACTTTCTTCCAGGCAATTTTTCCATGGGGAAGCGGATGTAGCGTTTCAGGGGTTTTGGGGAGGGGTGTAGGCATCAATTAGCACCGAATTAGAAATCCCCATGCCCAAGGGTAACTCTGACCTCGTCGCTACCGCCATACCTAACCATAAATTCATTCTGGTAGTGAAGCCCCCTTAAGTTATGCTTTTAGCCCTAGTTTTATTTCGTCCCTGGAATCGTAATATTCATATTACGAATCCCAAACTAAAGACAAATTCATTGTTTTGTCCTTTGAACAACTACAAAAATCATTGTATTTACTTAGATCCATCGCTTTTTTAGATTACAATGTGTCGGTACTGTCACTTTAATGTGGGAGGGAGAAGGATCGAGGGTGCCAAACGAAACTGGGAAACAATTTGGAGAGAGGTTTTCACGAATTCCCTCCCAAGAAATGTTTTGAGATCTACAAAATGATGGGATGCATTTTGGCGCATACATGCATTTTTTCTTCACAATAATGTATAGGCAGCATAATGCCCATAAAAGCTTGAGTGACCCTAAAGGCGTGAGGTTCCCTAGAGTTGTGATGCCCCCTAGAGGCATAAATGTCTCCTACAGGCATAAGGCCAACTCGAGCATGAGGCGTGCCAAAGACCAAAGACTCGAGGCCCTGGGCAAGTGCGCAGTGTGCCCATGTTTGAAGACGGCAATGATTTTCTCCACTAATTTCACTACTGATTACGGATCAGTGTGGTAGCAAGTGTTATTACCACACAGGACTAATATCTGTTGAGAACCATATTTTTCGGAGTCAAACCCGATTTGTTGCCGGTTGTTGCCAAGACTAAGACCGCCAAAGAGCCGCATGCGACTCCTGATCTGCGATTTGTCAAACAATTTCTTAGTCCAAGACATTATTGTAAACCTAAAGCCTTACTATATTTTTTTTCGAGTCTTATCTGGGAGAAGTCAAACTTTTTTGACGAGAGTCACTCCGCTTTAAGAGGGATCAAACTTGTGATTCGAACTTATGATATAATTTTGAAATGTGTCGATATTATCGTGGGTAAAAATTGGAAAACGTGCTGTCCACTGACGTACAAATCAAATTAAATTGCCAAAATCGTTCAATATTCGTTAGCAATATTTAAAGAATGATCACTCTGAAAGTGTGAGTCATCTAGATGCCCCGAGAAAGTTGATGCCCTGGGCCAGTGCAAATGTGTCACCATGCCTTAAAACGGCACTGTCAAAGGATAAAAAAAGTTCTGAATAAATATTGCAGGCATTAAAATATGAGAAACTATCTGGAGCTTACCGTTCGTCCAGTTTAACATTTGAATGCCTCGTTGAAATTATCTCCAAAACCTTAGGCACCAAGCCGGAAATGAATGTAATAAGTAGGTACTTGTCGGGAGAGATGAAGACATAAGATCCGTAGGCCATGACAATTAAAAACACAAATGAGAGGAAGAGTGCAATCTTGATTAACCTTTTAGTTTTCTGTAAAAGTATACAAGTATATAGCAGAAAGATGAATAGAACTATGGCTCCGCTTTTTGTAAAAGTAATCCGATTTGAGAGTTGATATATTTTTTTTTAAACTTTAAAGAAGATAATTTAAATAATACATTTAAAACAAAGAGTAGCGATGTGGATATTCGCCAATCGACGCAAACATTCTAGAAATTTTATCTTTAATAAGCTTTACGACTCGTTAAGAATTTGTCAAAATAAAAATAATTTTCCACAACTGAAACATAAGTTTAAGTAAATAGAATTTGATTTTAAAAAGCAAATAATAATTTAAACGAAACATTTTTCAACTCACTTCAACATAATTTTGAATTAAATCTCCTGGTGCAGCTTCCCATTTCATTGTGAAACAGTGGTATAGAAAGTTTAGAGAGAGGTATTTTATGTCATCTTTACCAACAAACAGGAAAGGACATTTGAGAGCTACACATAGCTTCGAACGTACTTCTTTAAAGGAAGGTGCACTGCCGTTATTTATGGCGAACATACTGTTTGAGCCTTTTCCAAATACGCCAGAAATCTTGAAACAATCATCCTCTATGATGTAGTCCATAAATTTGTCACACTTATTCCCAACTTCCTTATAAGCATCTCGTACATAGAACCACAGGAAGAATAACATAGGGAAAATTTTGTAGCAAATGCTTACTTCAACGACTATTAATACTATTAGAGAAATAAAGATGATGACTAAAACCAGGGTACTAATGCCTACTACAGATAGTATTGATATCAAGTTTATAATTATTAAAAGGCGCTTCATTACGTCAAACTTCTTTGTATTTTCTCGATTTGAATTATTTCTCATTAGGTATTTATTAAATAAATTGGAGTACAATACAGTAAATGGAGATGTTAAAAATAAACCAAGGATTGTCAATAAGATGTAGATGATAGCAAAGATAATAAAATATACAGGTAAACAGATGATGCAATTATAACTACACAATTTTTTTAACGAATGCAATTTGGTTAAGATAAGTGTCCTAAATCGAGTCACCTGTTCCGTAATCGTACTATCATCGGCTAACTCAAAGTAGATGCTAAACATTTTGAAATCAGTATCACATGCAATAATCAATATGACAAGTGCGGAAAGACAATAGAGGAGAGCTAAAATGACTATTTCAGTTTCGAGTACCTCGGATTCATTGTTTGATAGTTCATTTAATTTTTTACGCATTTGCAAATACCAAAGATTTTCATCGCACATTGCATATAAAGCTAGAAAAGATGGCAGGGCCATGAACATCAGGGCATAGAACGCGACGGTAGTTCTGGTCATACAGAATAATTTGAGGCACCAGTGACGGTGTTTGGTCCATTTACGTTCAGTGTCCTGCCAAAGAAATGAAAACATGACACAAATCAACTTATGCAACATTAAGGCCGTAAAAAAAAATTAATAAAGTAATACTTTTTTATTTTCCGCATTACCACTGGTGTTTGAGATGTGTTATGTTTAAATCACGAAAAGAAGTGCCTGACATGGAAATATTCATATTTATTTTAGAATCACATATTTATGAATAAAACCTTTAATAATCTTTTGACATTAAAATATACCATTTTATAAGACTTCCAGCATGAGTTCTGCCAGGGCAATGTCACATACGAATTTAAAAATAGTATGCTGTAATAATAACCTTGTTGATAGCCCATTTTTCATTTCTGTTTTTTTTTCCACTTCCCATTGTTAGTTCTTGACTTTTGTGCGTGTGGGCGTTTTTTGTTTGTTTGTGCTTATGTGTTTATTATTTATGGGTATGTATTGCTGTGTGTATGTGTGTGTATGTGCGTGTATGTGTTTGTATGTGTATGTGTGTGTGAACAAATGAATGTGAGGAATATGATTTGATTACATTTATTCCTGCTTATTGGATTAAATTATTCCTTCAAACAATCATACATTTCCTTAGAGAGATGTCTTAGTCATGCCCGATATGTAATGCTTTGTTTTTGCTCTAGTAGCTTAAATGCAAAGAAAATAAAAATTTAAGTTTATGTAGCCACTTCGTATAAGAATTTTAATCATCTATAATTCTTCACAAACTACCTTTAGGTACGCTTTTCATATATATTTTCCCAAGACTTAACTGATGCAATTGAAACCCTTGGTATTACTTTTATTATTATTTATAATTTCTTGTTATTTATTCATTTTATTAAAATATGAATTATTTGACCGATTGTACAATAAATACATTTAACTAGTTTTAGCCTGCAAAACATTGGTGACAACAATTTGAGAACTTCCCATCTACTAAAGTTACGTGAAAAAACATGAACTCAAGTAACGCTCATTTAAGAATCCAAGGTCACGCTACACCCCTTACTCCATGATACGGCACTAGACTCATTTAGTTTTACGCCCATGAACTATATTTATATTCTGATGTCCCAGCCTCTTTTAAACCGCACAATTATTGCACCATATCTAAATTAAGACGATTTTTTTCCGAAAAAAAAATTACCACTTACAGCGGTTGCGTTATTTTAAAAAAATCATTTAGCATAGATATCGGGAATTATGTTTAACGAACTATTGAAATCATTATTAAACCATACTTTCTTTCAAATTTATAAAATTATTAAATTTAATAAAATCCCCATACGAAATACGCTGAATAGAAAGCAGGCGGAAATGGAAGCAGTCTACAAGAAGCGTAATATCTATACGAGAAGATTGTGTCATTTAAAGTGACACTGTGCTTAAAGTAATTTTTGGGGTTAATTATCGATGGGGAAAGAGCTAACTTTGTATAAATGGTAACAACTCTGACAGCATTATGTCAACACTATTTCCACACAAAAAAATGAGCCTTGTCGAGCTTATATTGCTGATCTCTCATCCTCTTTCCTCACATCAAATATTCTGATCATCATAGACTCCCATTCAACCTAAAATGCTTCTCTAAATATCATATTATTGTCCTGTCAGATCCCTGGAGATAGGGATCTGATAGGAACCATGAAAATTAAGACATCATGTTGAAATAAAACGGATGAATTTTAAATTGGGGAAAAAAATCTACATTTTCTGTAAACACACACTCTCCCATATTGTTTCACAGCTACTGAAATGGGTTTGCTTATTTGTATTTTTAAAAAGGACTATACAATTATGAATGTTGTGTTTTGATACACATTTTCAATTGTTTCAGTTGTTAAGGATTATTTTAAAGATCTTGTAGGCACTTTACCCTAGAATCGGATGAACTGTCGAAGAAGAAGTCTTGGAAAATTCTCATAAAACTGATTGTTGATCTGCCTTCCCTTAACAATTTTGAAATGGGAATTTCTAAGCAAGCCTTCTTAATGCGTACTGTATAGATCGTTTCGTCAATAAGTTCCTGATTAAATTTAAAAATGTCTTGAATTGTGGGCACTTGCTGATACCTGCAATAATTAAAACATAAATGCTGTCATTATAATATAAAATTTTTAGAGCAAAGTATTTTTTTCCATTAAATTAACAAGCACTTACCCCACAGGATTAGAATTTCTTGTCACTTTAATATTCAACATAACATTTTGGTCATTTGGTAGGTCGTAGTGGTAGGTTTCTATTCTACAAGATAAAAAGAAACAAACATTTTAACATAACTTAATTTTTTTTTTTAAATTAACATAATTTAACCCAAACAAACTTACAAAACTTTAACCAAAAACATTGTTATAACTTGAAGTAAAAACTCTTAACATAACTGTAGCAACCCAAAACTTTGTAAACATTTTTTTCAAATTTAAAAAAAATATATCTATATATATTTAAGTTGTTTAAATAGTTAAATTTATAAAAATATTATGTAAATATTTAACGAAATAGATAAGACATGATTTGCGAATGCCTGTATAATGACAAAGGGACATTAAAGACTTCATAAGAAAGAAAATAATAGAGAAACTGAAAATCATGCAAAGGACAGGATTTAGTAATTATCATAAGGTAATGTGGTAAGTAACATTTAAATAAATACATTAATTCTCCTCACTCACTGGCATATTTGTGTAAAATTTGTCCGTAAAATTTGGATTAGATAAGAGGTTCCCTTTTTTGTTGAACTCCTCAAATGTTTTCTTTTAATAAATCGGATAATTGGCTTCTTTTCTCAGCTACATACCACGAGTGATCCTTTGTGAATTTTCACAGAATATATTACTTCTCATGTTTATTCCAAAGTTGGGCAGGTTGTTAAGGGGTCGGATTCTCCATGTGGGGGTTGATAATCTTCATATTTCCATTTTCTCTATTTGGTATTTCCTTAAAATTTTCAGCACACATCTCAAGTACTTTATTATAATCCGTTATTTAATTGAAGACTCTCTACTCTGATGTTTCCCTCTCTCTTGATAAGTCTTCTATTTTTTTTAATTTAGCGTTTGCCTTTTCCTTCTTTTTTTCCTACATTTATTTCTGATTCCTTCTGGCTTCCTTGTATGTTTGTCTTGTCTTTCTAGTTTCCCTTTTAATGATAATCAATCGTGCTTTGTTCCTTTCTTGAAAAGTCTATCTGCATTCATAATCAAATCAGCCTACTCTACTGTCAGTTTTCTGAAATCAAACTATTTTATCTGCATCTTTTTTTATTAAAAAAATATAATTTCCCACAATTCATGTTTTATTTATTATTGGTTTCATTGAGTGATAAGTGACACTATTTCATTTTGGTAAGCTTTTGTGGTTAGTGAGCCTTTGGAAAATTTTTGGTCATCGTATCGTGCTTCTCTTTGATATCGGCCATTGTGTATTATGCTTATTCTCTGCATATATTTAACCCTTTCAGAGTCTTCATCTGCTCCTCGATAGCTTCATACGTCTAGTATGTCTGATTCATCCCTTTGATCGATTTAGAACATGGTCAGTTTTGTAATGAATTCCATGTAACCTGTGAATATTCGTGTGTGGAACCTCGGTGCTTCTAACTGCCATCCCTTTTGCTGAAGAAATTATGGGCCACGGGCCCAATTTTATTTTAATTAATACGTTATATCTTTTGAGTTTTTCAACAGATTTCATTTGGACACCTTCAAATATAGATTTTTTTATTATCCAACCTAAAGTACTCGCTGCTTCCAATTTTTATAGAATAAGATGTTTTTGTTCGGATTTCATTTTGAAAAAAAAACTTTGATTGGTGTGACAAGCGCGACATTTACATATTGATTGATAAAGATTCAGAAGTTTGTTTGTTTTGATTTTAAATTCTGAATGCAAATACGAGAAACGTGGGTGATATTGGCTATTAATCTATCTTACCAATTTACAAAGTATAATGATTATGTTATATTAACAGTTATAAAAAAGTTAAAAAGTACTTAAGCTAAAAATTTGATCCTGGTTTCATTTTTTTTTTTAAATAGAATGTGGAGGTTGTAACAAGATAGGTACCAAACATGGGATGCCTTATTTTAAATAACGTTCCATGAAATGTGTGTTATCGTCTTAGCCATACATTGGCGTTAGACTATAAAGGAAAAAAGCAAACAATCTTACACAAAGAATATCGAAGGTAATTTGCGTTGACACAAGTAATTAACCATAGTAATATAATTTTTAAAAAAAAAATAATAATATTAATCACACATTTAAATCCTCAACTTCATTAAAAATGTAACCGAACCTACCTTTGTTTGGTTAATTCAAGGAATTTAAAGGAAGGCGAAAACAAGATAATGAACAGAACGATGTTAATTATTAGATAAGTCAATGGACTTTCTTCAACTTCATTGCAGTCAGGGAGATTGTTTTTGTTTGATTCCAAAATACAACAACTGCGGAGAAAAAAAAATGGTATTTTATTATCTTAGACAGCCGTCACAGTTTTCAGTCATCTACTCATCAACTCATCTCGAAGGCCTTCGAATGTCTTACACAAATGTAAGCATGTTCCGTGTTTGAATGACTATTACTCTAAAAAACATTACACCGTAAAATTTAAATGTATACCTTAATTTATTAATTTGTAATAATCTTGTATTAACTCCATAATAATAAAATTAGTTTAAACGTCCTTCTATGTCCTTATAAAACACATTTTTCAAATAATTGTTAATATAATAAAATAAGTTTTCATGTCTTCTTTGTATTCTTTTCCTTATTGTGAAATATGCAAATAAGGAATACAATTCAGCGGCCGTCCAGCCTAACCTGTTAGTGCCCTTTTCATAATACACTCAGGCATGGATAGCTATTCGTACACATGTGCCACATTTCTTTTGCTACCCACGGATACTACTTCCAAGCTAAGTGCTATTTATTCTATTTTATTTTTAGACCATTTTTTTCTGTTGTTTTGTTCGCTGACGAAGGCTTTCTGCCGACACGTTCGTTGTTTTGTCGCGTTTCTTTTTTTCAGGTTTAACCCTACTCTGTTTTACTAATTTTATATTGTGCTAACCTGATTGCGGTCTCTCCCCTTATTACCCTATATATATGCCTAGAGAGATTGGGTGACAGGAAGATCAGACGAAATATATTTTGAGAACTATTACCTTAGAGATTTTTCTATACGATCCAGAGTTCTGTTTACTAACATTTGATGTGTGTGATTCCTTTTCATCATTGTACCTATTACAAAATTGTATCGTCCTCAACATTTTACCAGCCCAAGCCAATCGTTAACTGTAAGTAAATAGCTTTAATTTTATTTCCTTTTAATTTTGTAATTTATTATTAACTTAATACATTTATAACTGTATTTGGGTGCTGGGTGGCCGAGTGGTCTAAACTGAGCAAATCTCAAGTTGATGGTCTGGAGTTCAATTCCAGCTAGAGCAAAAACACCACCAGCACCCCGGGTAGATGGGACTCGTTAACCTTGGACGGCAACTCATTTAAGAGAAGGCAACTCTGAAATCAAACCCGGAGATGGAGTCCCGAAACCCGGAGATGGAGTCCCGAAAGGCGGATAACATTGATACAATGAAGCATTCCGACAACCCCTGCGACGTCACTGGTGCCAAGCTGTATCATCCAATGATGTTCCCTTGGGTTACCCAGCGGCGTGGAGAGAGGCGATTTGCTGTTGGGAACCAGCTTATAATCCTTCAAGTATAATAATCCCAGGCTATGTGGACTTCGTCCTACGAAGCCCACTCCATCGTCACATTGTGACGGATGGATGCCAGCAAAAAACTGTATTTAGCCCTGGTTTGAGTATTGTAAAATTGGTAACTGTATTTAACATATGATATCGTCTTTTGCTTTTTACTGTTTTAGATCGAGCCATATATTTAAATAAGAGATTAATTTCGCCATACTTGTTCGTAACAAGGCAAATAAAAACCTGGGGTTCTTAAGGCGTAATGTCAAGATCGGCAACTCTAGTGTGAAAGAAGAGCCTTTAAGGCCTTTTTCCGGCCAATTTTAGATTATGCATCTTTAGTCTGGGACACAGAAGAAAATTGACAGGTTGAGGGCGGTTATGCAACGGGCTGCACCCTTTGTCCTTAACCGCTACAGGAATACATCTAGTGTTGGCAGCATGCTGGAAACACTAGGCTGGTCACCATTGGAAAAACAATGACGCCTACACGGGCTCTCTATGATGTACAAGATAAATAATGGGCTGATCCACTGTTTCAGCATTAAACATAAACTCTTCCCTCTCCTCCATTGACAGCGACAAGGCCATGACAGGCAGTTCCTGCTCATACCAGCGAGAAGCGTGTATAGAAACTACTCATTCCTGCCAAAACAATCAGGGACTTGAGCAAGCTTCCTATAGGAACAATTGAGACGAAAACACTTGAAACATTTGTGTCTATAGCCTCCTGCCTTCCAGCCCCCATTGCATGATACCCTTACTAAGTAGTTCTTGCAACCAATGAAATATCCACTCCAATCCGAGGCACAGTAACATTGCCAATTCCTAAACATACATAGGAGCCAAAATGATCAATACATTGATCGTAAGCCCCTAATATATAGAAGAAGAAGATAACACTTTCGCCGCTACAATTGTGATAGATACAATGTCTACACTTTTTCTACCCACGCAGGAATCACAATTGGAGGTAATGTTCCCTTTGCGATAGGGTGTCGGTATCAGCACCTCTTAATCATCATGTTATAATTACTACAAACATGTCGACCAGAGCCCAGGAGAATAGGGTGAAGTAAAAGAAGTTTTCATGACGGATATAAACATTCGAAGCAGAAATTGTATGATATAATTAAAACAAATATAGAACTAAACGGATTATAAGTAATAATTAAATGTTTGATGTATTGATTAATAATTTTATTTAATAAACTTGTGTTATCATTGATTACTTTAGTAATATACAAATTATTAGAACCAACTGAGCGCTCGATGTTTTTAAAATTTATTACATTTTGTTAAAAACTATCAAACATGATTTGACATCAGTAAACAGAATGAGATGCTGATAATGACTGAATATTTTATAATTTACAGCGCTTATGCCCATGCTATTTTAGCATGCTCACAACGCTCTTTGTAGGCGATACAATGTGTGCTGCAATATATTAAACTTTTTGGAGTCACTGAATTTGGTTTTGAGGTAAACTCCACAAACAACTGTTACAAAATCTAATCTTGATTGGATTATTGTGACTGCTACGGTATTGGCAGTTCTCTTATTAAGATGAGGACAGAGCTATCCCAAGACATGTAGATTAACAAGATAACAATATAAAACATTCTATTCTATTTGTATAGTAGAGTTGAACTTAATTGTTAAAAAATTCGTGCATACAAAACCTCACCTAAATGGCATTGTCCAGAAACCCTCATCCTGATAGAGGCGTACGGAACAGATGTTTACATCTTTTAAAGAAGATTCTTCTTGATTTACTGATCTTTCCAAGTCTGTGGAAAAATATTTTTAAAAACATTATTTATCTACAATAAAAGAACCGTAACAGTTATATAATTTAGAAGTAAATTGTAATATAAAGTTTATTCCATTTATCTAGCAGTTGTATAAACGAACCATTTTAAAATACTAATGAGGGGCAGAGACTGAAATCGGGTTACCAAAAATAAACAAATAAATGGGAAATGTGTGAAACAAAGTATGAGAAAACCTGAAAAAGGGGAACGCAACAACACAACGAACGTGTTGGCAAGAAGCATTTATTAGCGATCAAACAACTGTGAAAAGATAATTAAATAAAAATAACACTTAGCTGAGAAGTAGTATCCGATAGGGCAGCAAGAGGATATGACAGAAAATTAGAGGGTGAGAGATTAAATACAGACAAAGATAGAAAGAAAAGAGAAGAAGAAATCAACTGCCATTAGTCTTTACCAGTTAAATAATTCAGGTAAATAAGACCATGACATTCAGGCCATGTGGTTTCATATTCAATAAGTCTGGATCAGCTTGCGTATTTTCTGTTACATACCTCTTGCTACCCTCTGGATTCTACATTCCAGTCAAGTATTCTTTTTAAAATTACATAAATTTTCTGTTATGGAATTTATCATATTTTTTATTAAATATCATTGGTTAAGCATTAATGTCATTTCTATATTTAATTTTTTATCGATCTGAAATAGTTTGATAACAAACACGTTTTTCCCCATTTCATATTTATTTAAGTTAAAGTAGGAATATGTTGTACCTTTTTTCAACTTTAAACATAAATTTAATTTGAAAAAAATACTCATTTTTAAAATATCTCATTAATGACTGTCACCTGTCAGTAAAAAATCTCTGATGTAAGTGTTCGCTGTCCCATTTGGTAAACTTTGTAAACATCCAGGAGGGCTGACATCCATAACAAGATCAACGTTTTGAATTGCAAATGACAAGATAATTCTCATAATTCCATAATAGTTTCCATAGGTCAGCAAGAGTCGAGAGCTTTCTGGACCGTGAGTACGGTACCACCTACAAAAACACACATGTGATTAATATTAAAATTGAATATAGGTCAGGTTCAGAATGGCCTTTTATACAGATGCTAAATTCATGGAGCAACAGTCTTTAAAGCTTTGTAAAGTGGAAATATTTCTATTCAATTTCTTCCTCTTGATACATTAAATCGACTAAGATATTATTTAGATTAATTATACGGATGGATAAGACATGATTTATGATTATTATTTACATTATTATCAACATGAGATCAATGTAAATATACATTTAGTATTGGAATTACAATCAACATCTTTTTTTATTCATTATTTTATATCCATCATCGTATCATAATTTCTATACATATGTCTATTGAAAGGTGAAAATCCGCGTCTTTATGGAGAGATGAATTAATTAAATTTTACACATTCCCTTCATTTTTCAGAACGAAATCCAGCAGTTAATTGAAATTAAGCATAAGAATGGAGCTGAGGGGTGCTCCGCCCCAGAAGTATTTCTTTCAGGCATTTTCCCGGGGGGGGGGTGGGATTTCAGATTTTCGGGGATGCACTGCCAGTTGGCAGGTGGCCAGGGGCGTAGCTAAAGGATGGAAGTTGTGGCATACGTTCCGAAGCGCCAGACTAGAGGTGGAACCAAAATGGACTTTGATGGTATTAAGGTAAGATAATTAGTTTCAAAGGAAAGGGTGGGGATAAATCACGTCCCTGTCACAAAACATTATAGCTACGCCAGTTTCCAGTGGGATACAAAAGGGGGGGCTGGGGTGAGTTTTTCACCCTTGTCTCAATTTTTCTTTATATGGATGTGTGGCATTTTCGGACAACTGCAGTTTGTATCGGGAAATTTTTGCAGCCAGAATATTTGGACCCCATGGCAACATTAATATTAGCTACGCCTCTAAGAAGTGTATCTATCATCACGAAATTAGAAAAATCAGCTCCATTAGACACCTTCTCTCCTTTGATGCCACAACAACTCTCGTCTCTTCCCTCATTCTTTCAAAATTTGACTACTGTAACACTCTTCTCGCAGGCATTCCTCAACACCACATAGAAAAACTTCAGAAGGCATAGAACTCAGCATGCAGACTCATTTTAAATCAAAGAAACATGACCACATTCAACCACATATGCGGCAACTCCACTAGCTTCCAATATCCTCTCGCATCACGTACAAGTCTGCCAATCTATGCTTCAACTCGTTCAGTGACCCTAACTTTTCTGTCTATCTCTCTGAACTGTTGCTTCCTTACCCCCACAAGACAACTACACTCTTCAATTGACAATAGAACCCTCTCAATCCCAAGAACCAAAACTAAGATCATCGGTGAACGCTCCATCTACTTCCATGCGCCCACGTTCTGGAACCAGCTCCCCTTCCACATCCGTCATTGTGAAACCTCGTCAACTTTCAGAAAGTCCCTTAAAACCGATCTGTTTAGGTCTGCCTATGACCTGTGATTCACCCTCCTTGCACTGCCTCCTTTTCTGTCTCGGGTTGATCCTGTAGTAAGGGCCAAAACGTGCCAAAGTGTACTAATTTTTATAGTCATTTTAATATTTAAGCTACATTATTATTTTATTTTTCAAATTGTAGTTACTATTCTAGTGTCTATGTTTTTTTTTCCTTTTAATTTTACTTTAGCAGTTTATAGTTTATATATTTTTAATAATTGTAAAGCGCTTAGAACTGTAAGGTAAGCGCTATACAAAAAATGCCTAAATAAAATCTATTATCACCAAAAGCTTCATCGGAATGTAGGGTAGAAATCGAAGGCGCCGATAAATCTTGCTTTAAAAACAAGACAAGGATTATAAGGGTAACCTCAGCCAACTAAGAACATATACCTCTGTTAGGATATCACTCGAAGAAGTGGAGGCTTTTACATACTTAGGCAGCATCATTGACTTAAATGGTGGATTCGAAGCGAATTTTAGGTCTAAAATTTGAAATACCAGGTCACCTTTTGTTCTATTTAAGAAATTAGGTAAGTAAAAAGAGCTGACGCTATAAACCAAAGTCACATAATTTTCAACACCAATGTCAAAACAGTCGTAATATATGGAGCTGAAACTTGGAGAACAACAGTGGGGATTACGCAGAGAGGAGAGACCTTCATAAACACTTGCCTCAGAAAAATCCTGATCATCAAATGGCCAAACACAATCACCATCAAAAACTTACTGGAAATGACATACCAGGAGCGTATTGCTTAAAACATCATAAAAATAAAATAGTGAATGGATACAGCACATTCTTCATTAACCCCAGATGACATCACCAGACAAAATCTAACATGAAATCCACAAGGAATAGGAAAAAGAGGAAGCCCTAAAAGATCCTGGAGACGCGAGCTAGCGGCAAACACAAAGTTTAGTTGGATTCAATGTTTCTTATTCAATATTTTATTAGGGGAAGGACATTTTTAAGGGTCTGTGGAGGGGTTTGGTTCTAGTGCTATATATAAAATGAACTCACTCCAATTGTGGCGTGCCCCAGGGTAATCATTTGACACAAGCTTATGTTAAATACTATACTTTAACATTGATCAGCGTGGGGAAACGGGATGTAGAAATTTAGGGTGTTGAAGATAGTCACACATATTCAAAATGCAGTGTTGCATTTTAGTGCATACTTGAATTTGGTGTATTTTTCAGACTTTGGTGTATTTTGAGGTGAAATTTCAAATTTTCTCATGGGAAGCGCAAAAATTGGCCATAATAATGATCAAAGACAACCTTAATGCCACGCAAGAGTGGCATAACATAAATTCCTTCCAATTTTTGTGCCCTTAAATGTAATCATTGTCTGTAGCTTAATATAGCCTATAAAATCTTGATAATCCCCAGAAATATTGGATCAATACAAACTAAAAGTTGCCTCTTAGCAAATACTTTCATTTCGTTTTGCAACATTCTGCACTTGGATATCAATAGAAGAGATGCTAGTTTTAAAAAAAATATAATAGTCACTTAACTTTAGACTGCAGTGGGCCTCGGATAATTTAGAGGCTAAAAGATGTGATCTTCTCACTGATCATCTTGTGCAAGTTGGGGGAGGACAAAAGCAAAAAGTAGCAAACAAGGGCCTCAAAAAGTCGGGTGATGACTCTGCTTGGCGTAGTTGTTTTATGCAAATATTTGCTATATGACTAAATAGTAATGTGGTTTTCATCTTTAATTTAAACCTTTAAGGAGGGTAACTATATAGTTAGTAAATCAATTTAATTTTTTTAAAGTTTCCATTACAAAATGCACTTCTCATCATTTTATATATTGAACGCATATGAAAAAAAAATTGCTTATAACAATCAACTTAAGTAAAATAATTGTCTTTGCTAAATATTTCCAAGTTTTACAATGTCAAAAAAGAAAAAAAAAACTGTTACGTAGAAAGGTATTTTTATGAGATATCAAAATTGGTCTTATTAATAAACCGTATATTATCGGCATTATTATGTAAAGAAGACATGAGTTGTTTACAAAATGGTATAAATTTCCCAATATTAAGTTGATTGAAACTTTAATTTGGAATTTCAGACTACTATTACTTTTTTTCCAGATAAATTACAAATTGCTATATTTTTTCCCAAATACACAGAATTTATTTTAAATTGACACATTAGGTTTTCTTAGCTGTATTTATAGCTTTATTTGCTTAATTTTTTGCTTTATTTAGGAATAATCAGTGTCACCATCCGTGTTTCCCTAAAATCAATTCCTGGCGAATTCTCCTAACTTGCTAGCTTGTTCTAAGTCATATTCCCCAGATCACTTCCGTATGTCGGCAAGTATGTTTCATCACAAGTTCATCTAAGTAGAGTGCCCTAACTGCATGTAAAACTTCTTACAGGTATTTAATGAACACAAGGAAAAAGTGTAAGTAAGTGACGTGCCTTGATGTACTCGTCTTAGTGGGGAAAAGGATGCACCTTCTATAATAAATTTCACTATTAGGTCGCAGTCTTTTTTGGTTAAGGTATTTTGGGCGATCTAGAGAAAACTTGAAACACATAACTCACATTATCCAGAGTGAACAACTAATAATGGGGTTTGATGTAACACTTTTCGACTTTTAGATCCGCGGACCCCAGTTGTAATTATGTGGGGGGAAAAAATACACATTAAAAAACAATTTTTGGGGACAGGGGACAAAATTTTAAAAATCAACACAGAAGTGTCTTAATACTGACATTTTCAAACTGATTTCAATGGGACACATATTAAAGGTCAACCCTAATATAGATGCATATATAACTTTTCATATTTGAATATTAATATATATTTAAAAAATACGATTTTTTTTTTAGATTTTAGTCCTAAATTGAATTATATTTATAGGTGATGAGCCCCGATTACCAATATCAACTGAAATATAAAATATTTAATTTCCCCGCACGCAGCCTATTATTTTACAACAAACACTTCCATAGTTTCAGCATTTGCGATCAACATGTGACGAAGCTGTCTTCAAACTCATGGTGTTTTATGGGATCCACAAATTCTAAGTGAAACAGGCAGGGACCCAATTTCACTGTTAACCTGTGTTGTTTTAGATGATTAAAAAGAAAAGGTATATTGACTCTAAACCTACTGATTTAGGCATGTCTGTCAATTTTAATCTTAACTTACAAAGTTTTAGTCGTGCCTCCTGGTGGTACAAATTCGCTCACTGTAGATTTATTAGCAAGTATACTTTAAAACTCTTTTGAAAGTAGTATACAGTCGACCAAATGAAAATATGATTGATACATTTAATAGAAAACAAGAATTAAAAATTAATACTTGAATATATTCTTTGAAAATGTGTAGAATAGTTATGATATCAAAAATTCAACAACAAAGACTGTGTGTCTTCACAAATATGCTCAGTGCTTTCTAATGTTAATTTTCATTAACTACTCAAACTAAATTTATTGTTAAAAATATTACTTACTTCCATGGTTGAAATGAATCAGAACTTGTTTTTTGATTGAAGTCTTTTTCATCACTGGCATTTCTAAATCTGATAGTATATTCTATAATCACGATGCTGCTGTCTTTCTCAAAATATTGGGAAAGGTCTTTAAGAACTGTTTTGTTGTTGTGTATGCTAAGGCTGCACGCTTGGCTCGGTGCAGCCTGCCAGTGGATGAGTGTTAGTAAGCAGATGGAGAATACAAGCAGTGAACACGGGTGGTGCGTTGGTGGCGCCTTCATGGTGTACGGCTTTCAGTATTCGTAATGACGTTCCTGTGACTGAAAATAGATTTTGTTAGAATGTATATCATTTAAATAATTTTATACAGAAGAAAAACCATTTGAACTGTTGTGTTCTTTATTAAATATTTGCAGGCATGCCAAGCACACGATGCGTGACTTCAGTATTAGATTAATGATATTTTAAGGAAAAGAAGAGGTTGTTGTACTATTTTAGTCGTTAAAATAAAAACAAAACTAAATGTTGTTAGAGAAGTAAACATCAATACTTTAGAAAATTATGATCAAACATTTTCTAAATTTTAATTTCAGGGCGTGAAATATTGTCGTACTTTTTTTAGTTATCTGCTTTATTTTTTTTTTAAATATTGAGAATTCGTAATGCGTTCCATTATTTATAAACAATACTACAAGTGGTTCTGTGTCGTCTGATCAATAATTACTCGGTACATATCTTAAAAAACCCTTATAGAGTTAAGACCTAGGAAAGTGGAAAATGTGAGTCCATCAATTGCCAGTAAATTAGACCCAACAAACGCTATTTGTTGGTAAATCTCAATGTATTAAAGAGTCATTTAGGGTAATACTTAATATTTAAAATCTAATTTCACGTTCAGGAGACCTTAAGAAAAAACCCTGAATAGAAGATATTATTACTTGTACATTGAAGTCGAAGTTTCAAATAAGTATGCATATTCATTAACGATTTCGGGGTATTGACCCCCAAAATATTAATAAATCATAATGTAACACATTTTTAAAAAGATTGCGTTCAATAGTTAATTGAATGGTGCTAAATTAAGAGTTAATCACACTCTTTCCTGAATTTCAAAAGTAAATCTGATTGTAGGTTTAGCTGAGCTCTTACAAAGGCCATAATTTAAAATATTTTTATACAATTTATTTGAAAATAGCAATGCATTTTTTTCTCTGTTATTTAAACATTTCGTTTCGCTCTTTTTTTATTATTTATATCTGAATCCTTACTATTTCATTTGGTGACATAATAATAAACACTGTGTCCAGAATAAAAGAGAATTCATCTATTGAAAAATAGCTATATAATCATCAAAAAAGTTAATTTATTTTTTCCAGATACAGTGTATTTAAATATATCAAATACGTTACCTTCCCTCAAGTGGCAAGACTTCTACTTAGACATCAACTTATCCGATAATTTATGTAGCAATTTACCCCTAACCTCATTCCCGCTTATCATTTCCTAGGAAATTGTGACGTTTAATTCTAATGTTTTCTTTCAATCCATACGCACCGACACACATACACTCACTAACACAACCACACCTGTCAAAAAATTATCTTGCACAAGCATCTAAAACAAACAAAGAAACAAAAATACATCCTATTAATTCTTTAAATAATTTGCTTGATAAAGTTTTACACCAGGGATCCTAAACTTTTTACACATGGGGCCGTTTCATAGTATTTCGGGAGCTGTTAAGGGCAAGATTATATTTTGAATTTTAGAAAAGTGACCTAAATCCCCTGCACATACCTTATCATAGTTAAAATGTAAACAGTTTTTAAAACAAAACTACAAATGATTAAAATTTTAATTAATATAGCCTTTTATTATTTAAACGGAATCATGTATCTATTTTGGCTAATGAGATTTTCAAATTTCGGCTCCATCTTCGTCGCTGCTACACGGAAACCCGTATAGTACTACAGCCAGACTGGCCTGGCTATGGATCCGAATCGGAACGGAACTGACCCACGGGCTGCTGTCTAAGGACACTAATTTACATGATACTAATTCAACAATCCTGGTTTTCACATATAAGATCATGAAATCCAGATAAAAATCAACATCTTCTCTTACATGAGGTTTATATTTAGGAGTTCCATTTGTTAATGTGTTCGCTACTTTAAAGCTGTATTCCTAAAAACTTTCAAATACGAATTCTAGAACCACTAAATATATTAAAAATAAAAAAAAAAATGTTAAATTATGTTATCGTTGTTAGTTCTTTATTATTATTTTTTTTTTATTTTGGAGTTTATTTTATCTTATTTAATTTTTCGGTGACACTTTATTTATGTCAATTAAGAAAGAAAAAAAATTCAAGATGCAAGTCAATGTAAAAGTAAGTGCCCTGAATATCAATTTTAGTTTAGATAATATTTTTAATTTTCTTTTAATAGCTAACAGTTCTAATTTACAGCACATTTCTTAGAGTGCAACTTTGGTGATCTATTAATCATTTTAATATTTAGAATACCTTTCTATCTCTTTAATATTTTGCGTTTATTATATATAATGAATAATATTTTTGAATTGCTGCTAAAAATCATTTTTTTTAAAGAAAATTTGCAATAACATTAAATTTTTTAACTATGTGCTCTGATATTAAAGTGATTCTTTTATTTAAAAATGCAAACATATAAATTAAAAAATAATAATCTTATGTCTAAGAATTAATTCATTCTGAATGTCACCCTAAATTTAGTCTCATTCACTATATATGTATGAATTCCTTGGATTTCTTCCATGAATATACACTTTGGATCCGGCGTTTATTCACAACATTACACATATTCAAAATAATACAATAATTGGAAGTCATGAAAACATGTATTTGTCAAATTGGTACTTAACTTCTGACAAATAAAAATTAATAGTTATGAATTTTGAATGAGTTTATAACTTCATTAATTATTTGCCCCGCAACAAACAAACAAAAAACAAAAAAAAAACAACATAAAAATTGAAAACAACAAACATGTTTACATTTAATCAAGCTATACACATTTAAATTATGAATATCAAATAAATAAAATATAACAGAAGTAAGTGAAATGCTCTTTTTAATGAAATGTCGACTTTTCCCAAGGTTCCGCCTCTGCGTGGCGTAGTGGACTAGTAGGGCACTGTGGTAAATACCATCGCCTTAAACCAAAGAACCTGACCAGGCACGCCGAAGCACGAGTGACTCTCTGGTAAATGGGTTTGTGAAACGCCTATGTTAGGCCCTCGAGGCAAAGAACTTGTATGTCAATTCCCTCTGTCTCTTAACTAGCCAAGTTAGATATAAATTAAAGCATGTGGGGGACCTAATTACTCCTGTACTTCGCGTTTGGGGTACAGGGTGCAGCGCGCGTTTGTACTACTGTGGAGTTTCCCCGAAATTGCCAGTTAAGTGGGTGGCCCTCTCTAGCACCGGTCACGAATGAAAGGCCGGCAAGAGACAAACAAGTGACTGACCGTGAACGAAATTTACTAGGGGGTCACCGTGCCACTTTATGGGGCTCGCCTGTGATATGGCAGCTAAGGACCGTTCAAGAGAATGAATTATATGAACATTTGAGATAACGGAGAAGTGTCGGACGTTTTTAACCCCTAGTCAAATGAACACTTATCAACTAAGTCAACTAAGAGTAACGATAGAATTCCGCTCTCAAACACTAAGTCAACTAAGAGTAACGATAGAATTCCGCTCTCAAACACTAAGTCAACTAAGAGTAACTATAGAATTCCGCTCTCAAACACTAAGTCAACTAAGAGTAACGATAGAATTCCGCTCTGAAAATTTAAGTTAAAACTATTTTTTTTAATATTAGTCCTCCAAAATCTTTTTTATGTAGATTTGAGCTCTTAAAAGAGTACAAAAGCGTTGGTCCCTCTTGTACATTCAAATAAATTACGAATTTCAGAAGATTGCATGACATTTAGTAGTTCACGAGATCTTAATTTCTAAAGTGCTGTGAAAAGCTTATTATTTAATGATTACAAGCTAGAAAATGGAATTAAATATGTCGTACTTAAAATAATTTTTTTCTTTCATATACAATTTTAAATAAATTGGTAACCCATGATTATTGACTATTTATAGTATCTAAAAGCCATTATTTATTCAATTAACTATGAACAATTTTAAGTCAATATATTACTTCCGTGCTTTATGCATGATTAAAAATAAATCATACAAATAAATTTCTCAGCGGCTTTATTTGTTTCCAAGTTCAATTTATAACGTGACGTCAATCTTCAAGTGATCTTCAATTAAATAATATCCTGCTGTGCAAAAAAAATGGGTAGGGGAGGGGTATAAGAACTTATAAATGCCAATACTCTGTTGGGCTGAGACTTAGTCTCTTAGAGCCCTGGCTACTAACTTGGCGGCGAGCCTCATCTGATGGGCATCCCCTTAAATCATATCTTCAAGGCAGGCCTCCGGGTCTCGCCCGTGTGCCCCGTCCCTCCACTAGGACACGTGATGACCAAGTGAGCCACTGTTTCTTCTGCCTCGCCACAGAATCGGCAGTCTGGTTCCCTTCGATCATCTAGTCCATACAGGTAGCTGCGTGTCGCGCAGTGTCCAGTTCTCATCTGGGTGATGAGGCTCTGGTCTCCTCTCTTGTATAAGAACTAAACCGGCCAATTTACATGATTTTCCTGTATCGCGAAAGATTTATTTTTTTTTTGGTGAAAATTTACTATGTTGAGAACTGCCAAAAACAAGACCATCTTCATAAGAATAGACCCCACAACATCTTGCCACTTTAATTTTGAGAAGTTTTATTTTTGTACGGTCTCAGTGGTGTTTTTAGACCTTCTAATCTCTGGGTCAGTTTGGCGACCTTTGCCCACTAACCATCATGGGTTACCGCTTCTGCAGGGTAGAGGTTCAGTACATTGTACCCAGCAATTTTTTTTTCCTTTAATGTTAACATATTTTTAGGCCGTGGTAGTTCAGCCGAGACACTTCACTCAGAGAAATCGTTTTGTAATCGCTACCAACGTCTCAATGTAACTTAACTTGCACTAAAAAAGAATTATACTATGTTTTTATACAATATGGAGAACATATGTTTATCTTGAAATCAGGTTCAGCCCATAATAATTTACATATTATATACTTTTTCAAGCACAACATTTCATAAATTATTGTAAATAAAATCTATGGCTAACAATATTAAGCTGATAAGGCTCAGACGCGTTGGACAAATGTATTTGTCCTACGCATATCACATTTACCAATTTAAATAGTTCACATCTATTTAGTTACTAATGAAACAACCTCTTTAAATAAAGCTTTCGTATAAATTAATGGTTTTATAAAATTAATTATGGAGCAAATGGGGGTGGCTGAAAATGTGAGAAAATATGCATACATGTTCCCCACTTTATAAGAATTCCAATTAGAGCTCCTCCCCGCCCGCCCCCTTCACCCAGGCTCGCCACGCACACTTTTTTCACAACATTGAGCGATATTATGTTTTTAATGACCCACCCGGTTTTATACCGCAGATTAATTTAAACAAGTATTTCACAAAAACAAAAGAAAATGTTAGGCACCAAACACACTGGCCAACGTTTTTTGTTTTTTTTTAAAGAATCTCATTTAGCGCAGCTTTTCAGGAGTTTTACTGCATGTTCCCCTTTAAAAAGCAGGAAAGAATGAGTTTTGGAGTTGAGGGTTCAAGAAGGGGGCTTAAATTTTGAAAGAATGTATTGTAATTGACAACAAGGCTACGTGCCAAGTTTCAGCTCAATAGGTTGACGGAAAGTGGGTCAATTTTAAGTTCGAGAATTTTCCAGACAGCCACACACGAACAAAATACGATCTTAATAAAAAAGGATTTTAAAAGAACCTTATAGATTTTGTCCTTCGACCGTAGCATATTTTATGCAACTATTTCCATTATTAAAATAAAGTCAACAGAGGGTTTATGCAAAGTTTCAAAATATGAACACTCTTAATAGATACCGGTTTCTTGACGATTTAAATAAGCGAGGTTTTCATGACTATCCTTTTCCGCAAAATAGATCTTATAATAAAGACAATTAGTATTGTATACTTCAACGATATGATTCAACGAAATGTTAAAAAATATAAGTGTTTCGGGAAATCAGAGGCGTATTTCAGAATCAGTGAGTCCAAATAACACAAGGAATAGACTTGACACTTTAAGTACCTGGCTAAATTTGTTTTCAGACCATGCAAAAGATATGTGGGTAACTAGCACAATCTTTGGAGTTTGTACCTGTTTAAATACAGTTTGTATAACATGTCTTTATAACGCAAAGGAAGACAATACTTAAAAAATAATAATAATAAAGTTTATTTCAAAATCACGCTTCATCCCAAAGCCTCGAAGCGCGGTACAAAAGTAAAAAAATATTAATATTTAAAACAAACGCAACACTACAAAAACTAATTACAAGCATACCAAGTCAAAGTCTTTCTACCCATTTCAACCCTAATCAACACAGCCAATATGCATTAAATGGAAAATGTGGTAGACAATCATCCCAGAAGGTGTTTGCGAAATTGATGTGTCTTTAAATCGGTT